GTAATTAGTCATCTGTTTCACTGTACAATACATTAGGTCAGTGATTATATGGTGAAGTTTTTCTTGACCTCACACTGGTTTATAATGACTACCCTATTACATACTTTTGTAAGCTCATAGTCATTTTATGGTGATATGTCTTAAAGGAACTCGGACACTGAGGTCAAAACACCTATAAACATGAAATTTAAAATTCTTACAATTATATCAAGTGAAGCATTTCAAATAGAAAAAGTGCATAGAAAAATCAAGAAATGACACTGCTCAGTATTTGATTGAAAATCCATATTGTATGCGATCCATCTTTTATGCCATTCTTGGTCCGTTTTGAGTGAAAAGCGTATGTTGCAGCGTTTTTATTTGTTTGGGTCGTCAGACCAAACAAATTATGGTAGCGAAATTTCAGAGTCTAATGTTGTTAATTGCAAATGCCGAAAGTAGTCCACTTTTTGAAGCGGTTACTTCCCTTTTGTATGTGGACTAACGCCGAAAAATTCAGGGGAGATCACTGCATAAAGATGGTCAAAGACAGGCGCCTTAATTTACAAGCAAAGTAATTCCCGAATGGGCGAAGATTTCTAATATTCTTTTATTGTATTTTCTGATCGAAAATAAGTAAATACAAAGCGGACATTCAATCTCTGACACAGAAGTTTACGACAAACCTAATAACAAGTAGTTCTCAAAACAGCTTAAAACTAGCGATTTAAAAGAAAGAAATATTTTTATTTTGTTACAAGTATCCAACAAATTACAACGCATTCAAAGTTTAAAAATAGTGTTGGCTTATAGAATTTTCAATAAATGCACAATCACAAAATACGCGGATGAATATGATTTTATCAATGAAAATACTATTTTTAGCGATGTCGATTACCGAATACTACACAAACCGAGTAGTGGAATATATAGATTCTACATGTTGGACTGTTTGGGCGAGAAGATTTTCGCTAAAATATTTACTTAAATTTTAAACAACAGGTTTATCCTGAACAAAATACCTCGAAATTAATAAGGATTACAAACCCGAAATGCAATGGAAGTTCTAAATTTAGAATGACTTGATGTTATTCAGACATTGTTTGTATAATTTCTCCGTGGTACAGGGGTAACGCGCTCACTTAGTGAGTGAGAGGTCTCGAGTTCAAATCCCAGTTGAGGAAACTTTTTTTTTTGGTTAAATTCTTTTTTAAGTGTCTTTGTTAAGGAAGTAGCCATGATATGCAAGGATAAAGTGTGGCTGTCGTAAAAAAATGAACATAAATGATTTTTTGATGCAACTCTAGTTATGCAGAATTCCGTATGTATCAAACTCTGGTGCCTTGCAAAATGAATTACAATACATAAAAATAAACTTATACGGGAAAATGCATACAGATATACAGTACGATTTAGGTTGCAAAGATCAGAAAATACCACAGAACTTGCAGCCCTTTGATTCTTTATAAATATACATGCTTATAGTAAGCTCCAGGATTATTTACATCTGTGTTAAACAAAAGTTAAAGTCGTTACAAGCCCTTATTTAGAATAATATGGTTTTCTTCAGGCCGTTCACATATAAATTCACCGTGGCTGAAGGGTTTTCGGGCTCGCTTAGGAAGCAAGAGGTCTGGAGTTCAAATCCCAGTAAAGGTAACTCTTTTTTTTCAAATTGTTTAAGTCAAATAAACATTGGATTGAATATAAGTGTTGCAATTAGTCTTATAGCCAATTTACTACAATTAAAACGCTGGAAAGCATTGGTGGCACTATACATATAATCTCACAACCTGCACCTTTCTTACATTCTGAGACCCAAACAAATTCAGCGCCTTCTGTGCTTTGATTCATTATTGGGACATTTTGAACAGTATTAATGTCAAAATTAATGATTCTAGAAAAACAGAATGAGGGAATAATCTAAAAATTTGCACCCAGACCTGTATCAAATGATACACAAATTTCAGGGAAAATATTTCCTCTAACAACCTCAGTGAAGTCCCTTTACAAGTGAAATGAGGTCAGTTGGTATAGAGAGGATACTGATTGCCTCATTTTACTCTCATAAAAAAAACGCAAAAGGACTAGATCCTTTGGTGAGGTCACCCAAATTTGATTAATCACTCAAAAAACTGTTAACTGTATTTATGTTGTGGAATTTTTTAAAAAGGTGGAGATAGAATGAATTTGGAATGGCAAAATAACTGATATAAATTGTGTGCTGCCACCTGGTGTGATTAATGGTATCATTTAATGGTAATTTCCCCCCCCCCATGTTAATAGGTAATGGTTACATACACTTCACTTTATAAGATGTCCAAAACCTATACCATTAAAACCAGCTTCCATTTATTTATACCAAAGTTAATTTAATGCTGAAATTATCTGAAGGTGAAAAGAAAGATTTTCTGTAATGATGGTCTATCTACCTAACTCTTCATTCTGGGCGGAGCATAAGGTCAAATCAAGGTCTCTTCATTCAGTCTGATTCTTTGCCTTTTTCTCCGCCTCACCCCATGTCATTTTCAAGTCTTTTAATTCATTTAAATTCCACCGTCTTCCTCCATGTCATCTTCCAAATGTTTAAGTCATTGTAACTGTTATAAATTTTTTTAATTTTTTTTGAAAAAATGTTACAAGGCAAGCCTTAAAATTATCTTTGTTTCCTATACCTCAATCACGTTGATCACATTCTCTGTTTCCATGTTAGGTTAAAAAAAAACATTTTTTTTCCTAGGCAATAAAATCTTTTGGTAGCTGTGATGTTTGGGGGTAATTAGCGGATGTTGGGGAAACAAACAATATTTTTTGTTCTAGGCCCTAAATATTACAAATTTTATTACATTAGGCCATTTTAAATTTTCAGCCCTGTGTATAATGCTTGAAATGTGATGCTTGACTGTTAACAGAGATAGTTATATAATTATTACAATGTTAATAAATATAGGCTTACACTGTAATAATATCTGGAAAAAGTGATCCATCAGAAGCATTAATCACAACAAAATTACATGAAAATTGTAGACTCGGTTTGATTTAGTCTGTACATAAGGGATAATGAAAAAGTGCAACATCCCCTCATGGCTCATGCCCCCTGATTAGCACCGAAGAACTGCATGAAGACTAATATGTCTATAAAATAGAGAATATAAGAATCCCTAAAGAAAGCTCAACACGACAAAATTTAAAAAGTTGCGGGCTTATTTGATTGAGCCTGATTAGTCTAATTATATCGTTTTAAGTTTACACTGAAGTAATTTTTAAACACTAAAGAAGCAAATATGAAAATTAAGCTTGGCCTTTAAGGATGTAAAAAATTGAGACAATTTTTTATGCACATTTACATTGCATCTTGATGTTTCATGATTATTTGATTACAGTCATTTAGTGTCAATTTGTGTATGAACTCCTCTAATGTGGGAACATTCTGCTATGTGTAAGTAGTTTCATTATTAGTGTAACTCTATAGTATAGTTTTTCTTTGAGTCCATTATTTTATTTTGATTTTATTTTCATGATGAAATGATTCTGTATTATTCATTTCTTTTATTATTGCCAGCTTTTATGGAAAAAAAATGCTTTGAAATATAAAAATGAGGCAACATATTGTACTTGAGAATCAAAATAAAGATAAATGTTAATTTCCTTATATAGATAGCAATATAATGTGTACCGATTTGGCTGCAGTGTAATTTTGAGTCATAGAATGTCATGATTTAAGGCAAGGATTTACATGTGAATGAAATTTCTGTTTTATGACTCTCATATATATATTTTTGTGCAGAACACTTGTTAAAAATTCCTGAAGGGTTGTTTATTGTTTGTTATATATAAGCTGGGAGGAGTGAAATGAAGTATCATCGATAACAATATATTTATATATTATTAAATCTACGAACTCTTTTGATTCAATACTATTCCATTCAGGATATTTTAATGAGGAAGTTTTGGGATGTGTTTTAATATGTTCTGGATATATATTATATTGTGATTAAAATTTTTCATAGAGAATATTTCACTTTAGTTTTCAAATACACCCAAGTTGTCAGTAAAATAAAACAGCTTCCAGATTGATGTGAAATTCTGTTCTTGTTTTTCTAATGGAGAAAAATGATTTGTTAAAGTAAAATGACATATTTAAGAATCTGGTTTATATCATAAAACAAATTATATTTAATTTTGAGATGTCTGACTACTTAAAATGAGGAAGTTATTAATTATGACGTACCTAATATCTTAGGTTTAGTTAAAGGGACTCCACTTAGGTAAAAAAAATTCACATGATGGGACTGAACATATTTTTTCAAGACTAATATTCCATTTGATATTGGTATAGACCAATAACATGGGTTCAAGATTTTAGATCATTTACTCATTCTCCTTTTCCAGAATAATTTATCTTATTGTGAAAAATGTTCTAAAATTGAAAGGCATAAATTGCTGCCTTTTAGTGCTAGTTTTTACTCAAATTGGGCAAAGGATAGCACAAAAGTATGATCTTTAATTCACTTCTGAGTACATTTATGAATTACCTTTTGCATGTTTCTATGTATTTAAGTATATTTTAGCTGATCTATGATAGAAATTCAAATTAATTGTTATTTAGACCTCATTGGAGTTCCTTTAACCCTCAACCTGCTTGCAGCATCAGATTTTAGTCATGTGACCAGTGCAGAACAATGTCAAAACGTACAGAGTGAATAGTGCAGACCATGAGCTGACGATGTGCACCTGATTTTGGTCTGCGCTGGTTGCATAGCAACAAGAAGCTGCAGTAAGTTGAGAGTTTAAGACTATAAAAATTTAACATTATAATTTATATTGTACAAAAACACATAGTTGGTTTGCATATCAGACAATCTCACATTTTGATAACTTCAATACAGTATATTTTCTGAAGAATTTTCCTTTAATTAGAAACAAAATAATTACAGAATACATAAATCAGAGTAATGAGATAAAATTTCACCAGATTTGTTTGTTTAATTGTTCATATGAGGAAATATATTGCCAATTTTTCATGTTGTTGTTGTGAAGGATAATGAGGAGGTGGTGGGTGAAGATTTAGATGTACCTGAGTCATGTAGAGATACCTGTTGATCAACTGGTCCAAGATTTTCCTGCAAGATAAACATTTAAAAGCTTGAATCTATCAGAGCTATGGAATGATGTTGTAGATAAACATTGTGATAAATTCAGCAAATATACAGCTATAAATATATTCCCCTGTACCCAAGATTAGCTCCAAAATTATTACTTATCATCAAATCATTCGATCAAAAAAAATGTTTGAAAACTCTTCACCTGTTGTATGAAATTACGCAGAAATGTTTTTATGAAATAAGTTTTATATTCTGAGTGTAACAGTTTAGCATTTTGCACGATTTCATGATGAATTTAATTTCTTATTGATTGTTTACAGTCAGTTTTTGGAACAATTGTTAGGGGAAAATAATATTTTATTTATTGTTTTATTGTGAATCTGAGAACAAAATTGTGGATAAAGAACCAGTCTGATTATTGTCAAATTTAAAACAAAGAGAACCAGACTGTTATATGGAATTACTGTCATATGTGCCATTTATAAGTAATTGTGGGAAAATGTCATCATTTGGAAAATTGGAACAATTACATCATGACCTTTGCAGGTAATTGAAATTTTTCTGTTGTTGAAGTTTTGTTTGCTTTCAGTATATATGTGAAAATTCCTTTTTATTGGATTTGGAAATAAAAAGTGTTTTAAAGATTGTAAGCAAAATAGGTTGGCAAGTATAATATGAGCCGTGTCACGACAAAACCAACATAGTGCGTTTGCGACCAGCATGGATCCAGACCAGCCTGCGCATCCGCGCAGTCTGATCAGGATCCATGCTGTTCGCTTACAAACCCTATAACAAGTAGAGAAACTGATAGCGAACAGCATGGATCCTGATCAGATTGCGCGGATGCTCAGGCTGGTCTGGATCCATGCTGGTCGCAAACCCATTATGTTGGTTTTGTCGTGACGCGGCTCATATATGAAACCTTATTTGGTTGTGCTTGTAGACATTATAGTGGTTAACTAAAATTCTAGCTTTTGTCTGTATGATAATGCCTGGCCCAGCATATCAAACATTATAAAAGCTGGAATATCGCCATGTGATATATAACATTTAAACATAGTGATGTTGTGACTATAGTAAAACAAATGACAACAAATTATTACACAGTTTTAACTTTAATTTTTGCTATGACATTTAGGAAACTATCAAATATTCTATGTATTAAAGTACTATTTGTAAGATAGCATTTAGGGCACAAATTTAAACAGGACTTTGGTAAAGTTTTTCTACTATACAGTTAAGTTATTGTGATAGATCTTGTTTACATTTCCTAGGTTATGTCACACTGTTATCAGAATATAAACACAATATTACTGTAATCATAGACTAATCTTTCCTATATTAGCTGTGAACAAGCTTCCTTATCGGCCTATAACTGTGATTTCCAGCATGGAATTTGGAGCTCTCCATTATTTGTTTAAGGCATTCAAATATAAAAGTCATACATGTGAACTTTTTAATGATCAAGTGGGAGATTTTTTCTTCAAAAAGAGGGAGGTTTTAGAATTTGCAATAAACAAACATCAAAAAGAGGGAGATTTCTTTAATTTGTGAAAATACCCCTTATTTTAAGAAAAATCTTTGAAAATATGGCTGCAAAAAGTGGGAGTCTCCCGCTAAAAGTGGGAGAGTTCACATGTATGAAAAGTACAAAAATGATGAATCTTGAAACAAGACCTAAAATGGCAAAATTGAAAATATTGTAGGCACTGTTTGATTGAGTATGTTCATTGACTTGAAAGCTATACCATCCACACCTTGCAACAGAAATATTGTAGTCAAATGCAGCGCTAGAGTGTATACTCAATGTAAGCTGTGATATATTGGCCTAAAATAGGTAAGTCTTCATTGTCACAGATGTGGTAACTTTAAACATCTGACAAAAAGGTCAACTTTTTAACTCAATAATTAAGCCACTTGTATATAAGGTCAGTGTCTGTGAGGTGTAGTGTGGGGGTGATGTTGGGTGGTGGGGGTGTGGGAATGAAGGTGGGAGGAGGATTGCTTTAGTTTAAATGATAATTGATATATACCCATTATTTATTTCCACAAAAACAAAAAGGTAGAAAGTCAAGCCCACAATTGCAGACATGTCTATGTTGGTCTAAGTTCACATTGATTTAATATTTTAAAGCAAAAAATAAGTGCAATAGCACAATCACTGACAGTACGTGACTCAAAATCTTACAAAGATATCTCTTGTATAATCAGACTAGCAGTTAATAGTAAAACAAGGTGTTTCTTTAAATGTCTGACACAAGTAATAGCTAGATTATTATAAGAGATAAATCGTGAAAGACGATATTTCACCGTGGTCTTAATGAATGAATAACATTTGTAAATAACGAATGTCCATTATATTCCTAATTGGTAGAACAAAACAGTGCTTTTGTTAATTAATGTTTACAGGTTACGGCATTGATTTAGATCAACACTGATTTTAGATAATCATGAAATTTAATTACAACTCTAGCAATACAGGTGACCAACTTTGTATTTTTTTGTTGTTAATTGAGGGGACGGGGTAACTTTTTTGTGTGTCTGTGTTAATACCACAAACTGTATGTTCTATGTTTGGAAGGATGGATTTAAATCAGTTTAGATTTGTTTAAATTTTAACTGGATATTTTGTATATAATGGCTGTTGTAGAAAGGTGGCAGGATCTGTACAGGTATTCTATAATTATATCATTATACAACTATACTTTCTTTGCTTATTTTGATTGTTTTAAATTTTAAGTAACTTAATACACAAGTCCTTTTATGGTAGATCAAGTCCAGTGATCAATTTGATATTGGGTGTTTGGTCCCAATGATTAAAGTAATACTTACTCTGAGGATAAGATAACCGGACTCCGGTTAAAGCTCAACTATTTCAAGAAAAAAATCAGCTATTATGATTGCTGCATTATAAATGAGCCGCGTCATGACAAAACCAACATTATGCGTTGCGACCAGCATGGATCCAGACCAGCCTGTGTATCCGCGCAGTCTGATCAGGATCCATGCTGTTCGCTTACCAACTTTATTACAAGTAGAGAAACTGATAACGAACAGCATGGATCCTGATCAGACTGCGCGGATGGGCAGCTGGTCTGGATCCATGCTGGTCGCAAACCCACTATGTTGGTTTTGTCATGATGCAGCTCAAATGTAGTTGTCATGCAATGTTAATTATTATATCCCATTATTCAAACATTTTAAAGGTTCTCAAACTTCTGAAACATGTGATACTTGCTTATCATGATAAGGTGCAGTTGTTAGACAAGGGGCATAATTTTGAAGCTATATTTTTGGGGTTATGCCCCTTTTTAACATAGAATTTTGCTGTGATTAATTAGCTTTAGCCACTATATCATAGTCAGGCTATGTTAAACATCTTTGCAATCTGAACATCCATAACCAACTTCAAAATTTCATCAAAATGTAATATAAATTAATCATGCACAATACCAAAAATTGATCTTGTACTGTATTTAGCATTGATTAATTATAAATAAGTGTTGACAGTCAAGTATCCAGTGTCCCTCTAATACCCTGCTCAGATTTCCTTAAACCAAAATGTATGGCCCAAAATTAATCTAGCAATCTTACAACAATCATTTACTTTAATGATTTAGTTAAAACTAAAAGAAGAAAAAAACCAATGAAATTATAATTAAGCAACTGGACAGTACATGGAAACAGTGTGTTTAATTTTAGGATTAGCAGTAAAGAACTTTTCGCAGCTGGACACATAAACTTTGTTCTGATAATCTGTCTACTATATTGTAACATTTTTACAGGGGGGATCTACCTGTAAAGCTGCTTTATGTATTTCTGAGAAATATCTTTCTATATAAATAATTTACCGAGCTGTCAAAATGTCTAAACAAGTTATAAATAAACAATTTTATGAAGGTTTCCTATCTTAGCTAGACATTTTGTCTTAGATATAATGTGATATCTTAGAAAATGTCTATCTTTAAATGATACAGATTTATTTCTGGTTCCTGCAGTTGATGTAGGTATTACATAAATTTGTTAAAATAATGTACAATAGAAATTGTACATTGATATGTTTTTGTAGTTTTAAAAATTTATTTATTTCACATTGTTTGACTTTGGTATACCAGAATGGTATTTTCAGAATGTGATGCAATTTCAGAAGGGCAGATAATCCTAAATTAATTTGTCATGTAAAGTTATGTCCCTTTTTCAACCATCCTTAACATACTGTCCAGAGCTGATAAATGTTCAGCGTGCTGGCCATGGATGGGCAGGTTTTTTTGTCTTAGAATTGTCTGTGTTGACACTTAATAGTTTTGTTTTGTTTCATTTTTCCATAGGTGACAAAAATAATAATAAATTTTAAACATTAAAAAGTTGATCGCACTTAGATGTTGCCTGTATCATAAACATCAGCTATAGTTATATTCTCTCCCTTGTTAATATTAATGTCAATTTATTGTACAATTACAAAATCCAGAGATGCTTTGAGTAACAAACTTATATTATTAAAAAAAAAAAATTAAAATAAAAAATGCATACTGTATTTATTGAATATATTGATTGAGGTAAGTTTAAAATGCAAATTCTTAAACAGGAAATGCAACTGGTGCCCTATATTTAATGAATTAATTCAGCAGAGTACAGAAAGCAACAAGTTATTATGTCGTACAATTATTCCAAATCTTGTCACTTCTTCCGTAAGATTTTATGACATATGAATACATTATATAGATTGAAATAATAATACATTTTACGTTTTACGGTCGAACAGATTGTATGGAAAAGGCCCGGTAATAGGCGGGTTGTAGTTTTGTTATTATGCAGTCAATTGTAGCACCAATATCAGATAAAGTAAACTACAGGTAATTTTAAGTTGTTATTTAAACAGTGATTTATTTTGTGTTGAAAATAATAATATTTTCATAATATTTGAGTCAGTGGTAGTTGGATTAATAACTGGATTTTAAGCAGTTATATATTTTATCAGCTACGGGATTTTAACTGTTAAGTTTGTTGTTTTATAAGCCTTGGGATTTAAACAAAGGTTTAAGGAAGTTTAAGTTTTATTTTTTATTAACCTCCGGAATTTTAACAAAGTTAATAGAAGTTGAGTTGAGTTTTTTTTTAACAGACCTTGGGATTTTAACAAAGGTTGAAGCAGGTGAGGGTTTTATTAATGGCATACCCTTGCTGAATAGATTATGCCACCAGTAATTATAGCCAGGCAAGCCTGAACAGGGGGATCAAACTTGCTACTCCTTCATGGGTATGTGGCTTCTAAACCACTGATATACCTATAACCTCTTTAATTAATTGATAAGTTTATAGTAGCATTTAAATATACATACTGAGCTCCCTAGAATTATTTCGATACTAATTTGGAAAGAAGGGAAACATCTATGATGCAATTTATAGTTGCCAGCCCCCTCAACATTTATATTTTATATATTGAATAATTTATACAATGAAATATACCACAGCATTATCATATCAGTCATAAAATATTTTAATGTTTCTTTTATATGCATGAAATATATCCCCCTACCTGTATATGCAGATGAATATTTTATTTTTGTTTTATTCAAACAATATGCTGTAGGGGTCATGTTGTTCACCAGCTGAAAATTATTTATTGTAAAGTTGAGTCTGTCTTGGCTACAAAATATCTTTTGAAGTTTTTGTTTATCAAAATGTTTTCATGTTACATGGCTCTAAGTGGATGATGTGTTTTTATTTGATAGTTATTTTGTCAAGTTGATGTCAGATGAGTTAAGGTTTTATTGTTGTTTTACACCCTATAAGCTTCTTGTTATTAAATAGAATTTGACTGGTCATTTTGTTATTGTTTTAACAATTGTTTCAAGGCAGAAAATAGTTCTTTGTTTTTGGTATTGAACTGTGAGGCTGAGTTTAACCTTTTCCTTGCTTAAAATATCTTAAATGGACTTGTCCATTTTTCAATCTGGACTACACCATTCTTCATTTATTTGGGAAATTTCAAAATATGTTCTGAAACAGTTGAGACCATGATGATCAGATAGTGTGGATGTTCCCCTGGCTGATCTTGGTCTGCACTGGTTGCATGGAAATATTTATTTGTAATCAGCAGGGTTAGGGTTAAAGTTATTTAGCAGTATAATTTTCAAACATGCATGACTATAGCTTTTCAAGTTAAGATATTAAAGCAAAATAAATTGAGGAATGGAAAATAAAAACAACCATTAATGATGTAGGGATGTTATCTAATGATAGTTATGAAGAGTGGAATAATGTTGTTTTTGTTGTTTGATGGTGTATAATATGATTGTTTTATGTTGTTAATGGGCAATATGTTTGTTTATTGTTGTTTTAACTGGTGTTTTATGTTGTTTTAATAGTTCATTAATGTTGTTATATTGTTGTATATTTTCAGACTGGTGTTAGAGAAGCATCACCAGAACAACATGGCTACCCGGCATATCGCCGTGGAAACCTGGCTGGAGGCACTGGGTATGATGGAATATGTGACATGCTTCTCGCAGTATAATGGTGTTGAGGTGAGATATATTTATACTTGTCTGTCTATTCTTCAACCGTTACCACCCTCTGTATTTGAAATGGACTTGTCAATCATTCTTTCAATCTGGGGACCAGTTTCTCAAAGCTCTGAGATGCAGAACCTTACATAAACTGCTGATCTTTATTAAGCTTAGCTAGCTTTATGTCACATGAAGGCAGCCACACAATTTGGTTATTGAAAAAATTAATATGAAATGAGATTGTTTTTGACATAAGGAAAGAAGATAACATATTATTCCTCTACATTAAAACTGAGAGAGATATCCTTATAAGTTTTATTATAGGTACAGCTTTGTTCAAATTATTCTGTAGGGGGCGTACATGGCAGAGTGATTAAGATTGTTGACTTTAAACCCCTTGCCCCTCACTGCAGTGAATTCAAATCCTGACAGGTACTTAGGATTATTCATGTGAGAAAGCTTAGTCCAGCTAACTCTAGCTTACAGTGCTACTCAGATGTCCATTATGACAGTGCCTGAAATAATGCACAGAAGGGCATGTGATGTCTTCCTCCACCAGTAAAGCTAGAAAATTGCCATATGACCTATATATACTGTGCTGGTGCAATTTACAGTAAGACCCAACCATATAAAAAAATGAGAGAATAATTTTTTAGTTAGATGAAGTATTAATACACAGTTGTGCAGCTAGATAACAACTCCCTGCTGAGGTTTATTCTAATGAAGTATTGAAATTTATTGCACTTTTATAATTCTACCTGACATATTATTTGAATGGAAATTAATTAAATTAAATTTAAGCTTTTTAATTTAATATTCTCTTCAATGAGTAATCATCTTATCAAGATAGGCATGAAAGACACATTGGTTGTTTCATTTCAAGTTTTAGCTTCACTATTTGAGGAATAGGGACAGCTAGTATACTCACTCAGGTGTGAGCATCACACTGGTTAAGTTTTTGTGTGCAAGTTGGTATATCCAAAACTACAGAAGGATATTTGCTGAAATTTCACACACTAATTTATGATATTAAGGATTACATGGTGAAAAAATCTGCATTAGTCTAAGTAGATAACATGGAAAAACTTTGTCTGAAGAAACAAAGAAGTTGCATGCCTTAATCCAAGTTATGTTGTTTTTATATCAATAAGATTGTATGTTTTGTTTTTAATGATTTTTTGTTCTCTTGCAAAGAAAGATAAATATCCTGTTTTTGTAATGTCTGAGTAACACCTGATCATGTTAGCAGACAATCTTGATTTAAGATGTAACAAAATGGCTGATAGTGGGGTAAACATAGTGGTTATGATTATATCCTATAGCATTATGGTCACTTTGGAAAACGTTATTTCTGTTTGTATTATAATGGATATTCTTTGTTGTTAGTGTACACTAATTTTTTTAGATTGATTGTGTTGGAAGCTATTAGCTTATTGAAACACTTTTGATTCTGTTCCTCGAACCAACAAGTACTGAGCAATGAATGTAAAGTTTCTTACTCACAGAAATAAACAACAGCTTGCCCCTGATTGGGTTTGAACACCCATGTTGCCAGCAATCCTTAGATTACTAGTCCACTTCGCATTAAATGGCACACTTCTTTGTTGTTTATACTGTTATGAATAACTTAGAATGATACAATGAATTAATTTGAATTTAAGCTTTTTAATTTAATATTCTCTTCAATGAGTAATCAAGATAGGCATTAAAGACACATTGGTTGTTTCATTTAAAGTTATAAGCTTCACTATTTTAGGAATAGGGACAGCTAGTATACTCACCCAGGCGTCAGCATCACACTTTTGTTAAGTTTTTTGTGTGCAAGTTGGTATCTCCAAAACTACAGAAGGGAATCATTTAAAACTTCACACAAAAATTTATGATATTAAGGATTACATGGTTATCTAAGTAGATAACATGTAAAAACTCTGTCCGAAGAAACAAAGAAGTTGCATGCCTTTATCCAAGTTATGTTGTTTTTTTTATCAATATTAAAGATTGTATCGTTTTTTTTTGGTGTTTTTTAAAATGATTTTTGTTCTTTTGCAAAGAAATGAGATTCAAGAAGATGAATATCCTGTTTTTGTAATGTCTGAGTAACACCTGATGTGAGCAGACAATCTTGATATAATATGTAACATTTATATGGCTGATAATGGCGTAAAAATTGGGATTATGATTAGAACAAGTACAGCATTATGGTCATTTTGGAACATGTTATTTCTGTTTAATATTATCATTGATATTCTTTGTTGTTGGTGTACACTAATTTTTTTAGATTGATTGTGTTGGAAGCTATATGAAGCTATATTGAAACACTTTTGATTCTGTTCCTGGAACCAACAAGTACTGAGCAATGAATGTAAAGTTTCTTACTCACAGAAATAAACAACAGCTTGCCCCTGACGAGGTTTGAACACCCATGTTGCCAGCAATCCTTAGATTACTAGTCCACTTCGCATTAAATGCCACACTTCTTTGTTGTTTATACTGTTATGAATAACTTAGAATGATACAATTAAATTTGACTATTTAAGAAAGGATATAGGTTTTTGAGATGTGATGCTCTGTAATATTTGGTTGTTCTACCTAGATGCCACAAAATTAATATGCTTGTCCCTATACTTAACAGTTTGTCACAATATTTGTCATTGCAAATGGTCCACCATTTGCTACTCTACCATCAATCATTCTTCAAAGGTATCACATTTGCATTTTTTAAGGAAAAAAATGATTGACAAATAATTGCTTGTGCTTTTTCTCTCTCCAGAATTTGTTATACATGTCAGAAGGTGAGATAAAGGACCTTGGTGTGAAGAATGCAGCACATCGGGCAAAGATTGTCTCCAGTTTGAGAATATTGAGGGAGAAATATGAGAGGTCAACTTTACCAGGTAAATGATGATAATGTTTATTAATTATTAGAAAGCAATGTTTCAATAATTCTGGGTAAGGTAGATCTTTAGAAAATGTCTTAAACAAAATTGAAAAAAAAAAAAGATAAAAAAATTACCATTGCTAGCCCCTCACAGCTATGGGTTTGCATTCAGCCAAGAACTTCGGATTCTTTCATGTGCAGCTATCTAACGGAACATCAGTGGTTTCTCTTCAGGTGCCTGATTATACCTAATACATAAAGAAACACCTGAGATCTTTTTTATCCACCAGTAAAACTGGAAAGTCGCCATATTACGTTTACAGTGTTGGTGCCAAATAAAACCAAACCAAAAAATAAAAAGATAATAAAAATCTGTAAAAGATTATGTGCAAATTTTTATGTTTGGTCCTCTGAGCAAATGGATTTACATATAATCTAATTATAGAATTTATAAAGTAAGAAACATTCATTGTTAATGTCAGAATGTCAAGTATTGTTTTAATATTCTGAAGAAAAAAAATCATTGTAGTAAAATTTTATTTTATCATAGATTCATTTTTGTACAATGACATACATGTATATCATGGTATGGAATTATCTTTTGGTCTTTCCACATCATTTGTGTAATTTACAACAATAAATTTACTGTTTTTCTTTAAAACATAATATTATTTTGTCTGTGATAGTCTCTTTCCCATTGTTACTCTTACTTGTCATTGCAATACAATTTTAACACTAGTTATTCAAGTACAAGTAACTAGTTACCTCCCTTGATACACACACTGACCTTGGTTGTCAATCAAATTTGGTCATCTAATTGACAGTTTAATGTCAGTTTTAGTGTTGCAAGGCCGGCAGGTGGATTTTTGACTAATCATTGACGTTAATGCATCATGATTAGTAATGTCATTTATGGGGCTGATGTAAAACTAATATAACTCTTTATGTATTATTAATTGACTTACACTGTTTTTGTACAAAGTTTGTTTTCCAAAGCAAGGTTCATCCTTGATGGGCAGAAATAATAGAAAAAAATTATGCAGGTATAAATAGGGGAAGGAAAGAAGAAATAGGTCAAAAATGTGCAAACAACCAAAAGAGTATCAAGTACTATAAGTGATGGTTATTAGATACAGATGCTATTAATTTTGAAGCATAGATTTTTTATGGTAATATCTTAATGTAAAAATGTTGGTTTTTATTACTAGCTTGTAATTATCCTGCCCATGAATTCAGATGTAGGATATTTTCTGCATATTACTCTTATGAAATACAGTGCTGATTTTTACCAATATGTGTGTATAAACATATTTTTTAATAAAAACATACATACAAACATACAAGTGCTGAAATAAGATGGAGTTATATCATTTTTGGTGCAGAACATAAAACAAAATTTAAGAAGGAATAAAATATTTTGTGCTGAATAATATTGAATATTCAGTTATTCACTAAGGGACTTAGGATATTCATCTAATATCATTCTTAGCCTGTTGGAAAATTTTGGATTTGTGTTGATTTGATTTGTGAAGTATGCAAATGAAGGATTGGCAAGGGGTTTTGCAGATTTAAAAATAGTGATGTTATTTAGATAGTTATTATTTCTAGGACTAGTTATAGATTAAATAGAGGATTATTTAATTAATTGATTTGAGTGAACATGGTGAAATTCAAATGTCTGTAAATAATATTTTCTTTGGTCCGTGTCTTGTTTGGATATGTTAAAAATAAAAAAAAATTATTTGAAACATTCCAGTCAGTGTTGGTAGGGAGTGAAAGGTGGGGGGTGGGGGGCAGGGAGGATGCTTGCAAGTGCACTGTTACTTCATTCCTCTGCAGGTCCCTTGCCCAAAAAAATATTAACTTAAAAATTTGAGTTAATGACTTTTGTAATATGAACAATGTAGACAATGAGTATATGGTAAAGGGAAAGAATAATAAGAATGTTGTATATATCAGACAGGAAGTAACATCTTCATAAAATGTTGTCAACGACAACTATATTACACTTGACCTCCCATTAAACATCACTTGAATAAACTTCATATCAGAAGCTGTCAAACAGTGTAAAAACAGTTGTGTTTTTGTTTGTATAAGATAAAGTAATTATCACATTTTTTCATCAATAAAGAGCATTCCTTCATGAATAAGATTAAAGGATTAGATTTGAAGTTGCATAATGTAAAAATAAAGTGTTTTGATAATGAAGAACTCAGAAAATTATTATACAAAAAATTGTGTTTGATGGATATTTATTATTATTTATGTTACTATAGTAAGTTTTAACAGAAATTTTTTGGTATCATAAAGTGAAAATAACCTACTGGATATATTTACTTCAGATAAAAGAATAAATGTTTCTTTGGGAGCATTTAAAAGGACTTTAAATTTGATAATATTAGAAAATTTTTAAATGATTGTGCTAGACACCAACTGACTGTGAGGTGTTTTTTGTTTGTTTTTTTTTTAAACAGAGTTGATCTGTATTGACTGGAAATATAAAAAATACAATAGTATTTGTTCATATTTGAAGCTAGTATAAGTTAAGTGTGATAATAAAATTATTAATAAATTCTGTCATTAGACATTAGTCCATGTTCTAGTCAAGTCCCTGACATAAATGTGAAAAGGTGCATCAGGTGTTGTCTTTATCTATCTATCTTTGAGTACTGCCAACTATATATGTGCATTATATCATTATATTGTATTACAGGTAAAAAGAATAGCCCACTGAACCAGGTGCAGAGGAGCCAAAGTGTCACTGCTCAGTAAGTGTTTTATACAACTTTTATACAATATATGAGCCACGTCATGACAAAACCAACGTAATGTGTTTGCGACCAGCATGAATCCAGACCAGCCTGCGCATCCGCGCAGTCTAATCAGAATCCATGCTGTTCACTTACAAACCCTATAACAAGTAGAGAAACTGATAGCGAACAGCATGGATCCTGATCAGACTGCGCGACTGGTCACTGGCTGAGAAATTGGTAATTACTGGTTAGTTATCAAGGAAAGTCTGCTAGGTTGATTGACTGCCAAGATATGACCAAAAAGGTGTGTTAGAATAGCCTTAAAAACCAGAAAAAAAGAAATACTGCATTAATACCTTCAAGTAAATGTATGGTTTAAAAAAATATGCAATATTAATTATGTTGTATTATTACAGGTTATCTCCTAACTGGTCACCACCTTCGTTAGTAAACAGTCCAGACTACCAGCAGGTGAATGTTTCCCCAGAAAAACTACAACACGATCTGATTGTAGAACTTCAGGGCGATCCAGCTGATCTAAAAAGCAAAGCCTGGTATCACGGTAGCATCTCTCGTCAACGTGCAGAGAGACTGGTGTTCAAGAACGGAGATTTCCTGGTACGTGATTGTATCTCCCAGCCAGGAGATTTTGTGCTGACCTGCTGTTGGAAAGGGGGACCTCTTCATTTTGTCATCAATTCATCAGTTATTGATCAAGGACCATATAAATTACCAAAGGTAACATATCATTTTGAGGCAACTCATTTCAACAGTGTACAAGATTTAATACAGCACTATATGGATGAGTGTAAACAGATTACCGAGATTACTGGGGCTGTTATAACAACACCCATAGGGCGTAGTATGCCCTTGACTTACTATGATAGCAAATATGGAGCATTAGCAGCATTATCAAATGCCCAAGCAAATCATTACAGTACTATACAGCTTCCTAATCAGCAGATGGCAGCACCTGTTGGGCATAATCAGCCATTCCAAAGAAGTCCCCACATTACTCCAGGTACTAGCCCAAGATCTAGTCCTCAAGGCACACCTAAGGTCAGTCCACATGGAACACCTGGTGCAAGCCCACATGGAAGCCCGAAACCGGACAAGAGGCATAGATTTGGAGAGAGATCCGGTAGTCAACCTTTGTTGTCTGTGAATGATATACCAGTGTATACACCCCCTGGAATGGATAGATCAGACAGTTTACCTGTTATTACAAATAATTATAAACAAGTCACACCTACTCATGATTATCCAGATTCTTCTGTTCCAGAGGATAGTGGAATCTACAAGACTGTGACGCCCGTTACCACTGTCTATACACCACCAACACATCCTGCCTATTTCCACCAAAGATCTGGGAGTGCACCAGTTCTCACACCAGGTGTAACAGTGACTCAGCATTTTGGTGCATTAGCTCCTCCCACTTCATTAAATCCTGCCTCCTCTGATAGTGATTTATCTAAAGCTCCTCCTCCAAAGCCAAGCAGAATTCCGTCAGTGAAATACAAAAAGAAACCGCAAGTTCAAATAAGAAATAAAGCTCTATATGAGGATGACTATAGAGATTACAGTGACTATAATCAGGTGACCTCTGAACCCAGCTGGTTAAAATCTGTAGAAACCAATCAGCAGACAGATAACAAACTTCCATCCAATCAAACACAAGGAGAGAATGATTATGATAATAATTTTAACCAATCAAAAAATGTTTCACATGAAAGAGACTTGAATCAAAATTTAGCATTGAAGAGTGACAATAGAAAAATTTCAGATACAAGGTTTAATATTTTAGATGGGGAAGAACAATCAGACATTCCTGCGTTTCCACTTGAACTGAACTTAAATAGGGACCAAATTCGTGCAAAACAACAACAACAACAAACTGCGGACCAATCTAGACGTCAAGGGGTTCATTTGCCTTCACAAATATCCAGCCAGACACAAAATGTGCATCACACAAAAATAAAAATACCAAAAATTGAAACTGTTTCAAGCTTTAATTTGAACTTGTATACATCAGTTTTATTACCTAACGAGAATAGATTATTAGAGCCATCGTCACTTATAAATGTGCGGGAAAAGTTACTCAAGACTAGTGCAAGACTGTTAGCTCAATATTTAACTAAAGCAGATCTTGAAATGTTAAAAGTTTTAAATGAGGAGGATTTAGGGGTGAAGGTCACTTCTGGTTTGGAGCTAATAACTCTGCCACAGGGGAAACAACTGAGACAAGATATACTTGAAAGGTGAGATACTTATACTCAGATTGAAATAGATATACTTGTCATGATTTATTATCAATTTGTATTCAATTTGTGTTCATTAACAAATTCAGCAGGTTAAGAATTGTTCTAGGAAGTCATATGTTTAGTCTCTTAAAAAATTAGTTACATTTAAAATGTTAATTATGTCAAAATGATGAAACAATAAATACTGTGCTAAATATATTTTTGAATCTTTATATTAGGCAATATTATTTTTAGCTTGTCTGTTTTGAAGAAAAAGTCAAGCTGTTATGTTACTTTATTTAAGGAAAAATGAAAATTACTTCATAAATTGACTGTAGCCATGTATATAGATTATATAAATATCAGGATTATCCAACATGTCCAATGAAAAGCAAGATTAAAAAGATGCAGTATTAATAACTTTATGAGTAATACAACTTGTCCTTGATATTCACAACATTATTTTATATAATATATATATACATATTTTAGAATATACAGTCTGAAAGCTTTTGTCATGGTAATGATACTGACTTGTCCAAAGGTTATTGATCGTGCTGCAATGTTAAGTCAGTGGATACAAATTGCCATGGAAACCAAAGGAACTCTGGGAAATCTGTTTGGGTTTGAAAATGTAATGGAGGGCTTGATGTCAGATCAGGTATGATTATAAAAATACAAATTTCTACAAATATTCTTCAAGATTATATAAACAAATCATTTAGGTTTTGACTGCACATTTATACTGATATGTCTTCCCTACATTTAAGTATTAGTTTGTAATATAATGGCATTGAAATGAATAATAGAAAAAACAACAATAAAGATCGAATAAGTACTTTTGTCTTCTGATATTAAACCCTTTACATAACAACACAAATTCTTCACTAATCTGAAAAGGGACTTTCTCGGAACAGTCATGTCTGACAAAAATTATAAATGAAAGGGCGTCAAAACTTGCAATTTTGTAATACAAATTGCCATAGTAATACAAATTTGACCTGTGACCTGAACAACCACCAAGACAGTTATATCCATAAAAGGTTTCATTTATAAATAAAATGCTCAAAACATAAAATCATTTCAGAGCCATATTTTGCCTGGTAATGCTAAATGTTCATGACATGGATCATATTTTTCAGATTCAGAGATTACGAGACACATGGATGGTGTTGAGGCAAAATCACACAAGTAGTGCCTTCTTATTTGATACTAAATTAAAATCTGCCTTCCGTATGCTGCATGATGGGAGTGGCTCACTTCCTGTCCAGGATGTGTGTATTCCAGGAATCAATCCCATAGTGCAACTGCTGGAGAGAACTGTAGATGACGAGAGTTACTTCCCCTGGGAGAGCTCTGATATTAAAAATGGTCTAGACACTATGCTGTGTCATTTAGATCTGGCTAGAGTTGTGACTGCGCAATGTGGGGTGTATAGGGTAACTGGGAATACTGTAATTAAAGGTCTAGAACCAGACCAGGAAAAGTTAGAAATGTTTCAGACAGAATTTTATCTGAGATTTTTATGGGGTTTTAAAGGTGCAGGGGTAGCTAGAGCAGAAAGACATAATAAATTTATCATGTTGTTGACAGCTTATTCAGAGAAAATTGAGAAGGAAGGGGATGATGGTACAGCAGTTTAAGTAATTGCTACACTTATAAACATTTGAACAATTTGTGCCAAATATATTTTTGATCTTTTTATAAAGCAACATTATTTTTGCCTTTTATATAATCATATTCATGAAAATTAACTGTAAGTTCTATATTTTAATAACATTAAAAACAACTTTTTTATTAATAGATTCCATACTTTACACAAGGCTTTCATTATGGTAGCTTGGTAAAATACTCTGAAGCATGTTGATTTTTATTAATAGCCAATTAGCTTCTTTCAGTAACACATGTAGTCAGAGTCGTTCAGAAGGAACCAGCTTCTTCCTATCATAATGAAAATCTTGATTTTATTGTTGTATTGAAGTTTCAAAATCACCTTAATTCTCGAAGTTACTTTTAGCTTCCTAGCATAATTGGTTCTTTATTAAAAGAATTTATTTACAGCTAAAGAGCACTTTTGAACAAAGACAACAAAGACCAAACGAAAAGATCAGTAAAGAGATCAGCATTTTATTTTACCATAAAAAAATGAGTTATAAGATTTTGACAGTTTATATGATATTTATAAGTAATTGTAAGCTTACTAGAGGAAGGTTATATTCCTAACAAATGTTTATAAACAGCCATATAACCTGTCAAAAATCTTTGCCACACATTTGTAATACTGCACATTTTTTTTTTCATTTGAACAAAAGAAAAAAAAACTTAGTTTACAAATTTAAATTATAGATCATATTAACTTCACTATTATCCAATGAAAATTGTTGTTACAAACATGCTGTATTATAAGTTTTGATATACAACCTTTTTTTTATCGTTTATCAGAGGATTGGTTAATGAAGACATTGTTAACTGTAATATTATATTTAATAACTTCCCAACATTCCAGAGATTATAGATGGTAATGGCATTATCATTTATCATTTGTTATTGCAAAACCTTTACTGGGTTTCTATTGTAAAAAATGAAACTCTTTGGCATTGAAATCATATAATCTATTACTTTGTCATTGCTTGTGTAAAATTAATGAACAATAGACTGATGTAGCAGTCAGGTAAAACGTCCATTCATCATCATTAGCTCTTAGAGAGGTGGCATATTTCATATTTTGCTACATTTTATGTCTTATACAAACTGATTGAAATTGATACTGTGATGCAAAATAAATTTTTGCAAATTCAGCATGTTCTGAGTAAATTGAAGATACTCACTAGTAGGTAGAAATGACAATGTTTGCAAAATGTATACAAATATTATGATGAACATGTTGATCATCACTTTTATAAGACACTAAGCCATTACATAATTTTTAAAAGTTTTAAGGTAACATAGGATAATTCAGCACAAGACAGGAGAGCTTTTTTAATTTTGGACTTTGTTTCTTATTGTGCATTTTGTATCTATATAATTAAAGTCTGTGTAATGTCATTATATTTTAACCCACCTGTATGTGCCACAGTGCTCAGGTGAACTGTTATTTGAGTTAAGTTGAGTTAAGTTGAATTTACCTGCACAGTAACATGTTAATCTTTATCTCGACTATTTACAGAATAGGAATAACTATTGTATTTACCCAGGCATTGGCATCAGCTGTACACTTTTGTTCTGTTTTTATGTGCAGGTTGGTATTGTAAAAGCTACTTAAGGGAATGGATAGAAACTTCGCACTGTCTAAGTCACATAACTCTTACATAGATGTCATGTACATACAAATTAAATTACTTCATCTTACCCAAAGCACACATTAATTAAGCCACAGAAATTACTGTTCTCTAATCAGTGTTTAGAAATTTCTCTCTTTTTTGTTAACAGCTGAGTAGAAAATAATAAATTTTGTCAGGGGAGCAATAAGTCATACTAGTAGCCCTCTTGTTTGGGACTCTTTGTCTATTAACATTTTGTTTTACTTCTTTTTATGTAAAAGAAAGCTTAGCAATATATCTAGCATAATTTTCTTTGTTAATTTACTCTATACATGTACAATATATTATTTACACATTGATTACATAAAGCAAACCTGAAGTTATAATGTTGATGTACTCAGATTTGCTGACCAGGATTTGTTAAGTGATATATTGTGATACTATAAATAAACTATGCAAAAAAAATTACATTAACTTTACATTGTTCATAATATTTTTGTACCCTTTATGGAGCTTCCAACAAATGTAAAATGTAAATTGTACTTCCAACAGGGATGTCAGTATACATGTAGTTAACCACATCTTCTGTCTGACTTTTTGTTGAGGCTATTGGTGTTGTGTTAGAATGGTTTGTAAATGCCAGTGTACAAATTTACTTTGACTGTCTTCCATGAAGCATTGCTTTAATACTGGTATGGGCTTGGTTGATAATGGACCTTCCCAGTGTTTATAGTTTGAAGATTGACCGACTGATGATTGCTACACTGGCATAATGCATAGTCTGTTGTTAAGCTGGTTTACACAAAATATGTAACATGTTGTTTGCTATAAATATTTTGGTAAGGTTTTACAATGCACAATGTAAATGTTGTATTGCAACTTCTTAGTGGTCGAAGACCTCAGGGGCCCCTCTGCATTATTTCATGCACACAAAAAACGCCCTAGTAGAACCACCAACGTGTCATAAGCTAGCTGTATAACTTCCTAATATCAAAAAATCCAAAGTCTCTAGGGAATTAAAAACCCAGTGATAACTGCTTGTGAGCAGGTGACCTATCGATGATAGAAAAGGCTTGTGCTAAAAACTGGAAAACTCCATTACTCCTTACAAGAATGCAGTCATCAGGTAGCTTGTACAGTATTAATGATGGTTATGAAATAATTGTATAAGGAAAAATTTCAACAGACCATAAGGCAATAATGTCAATTATGAATGGTTTGAATGTAAATTGTGCTTATTTTGACATTCATTTTTCTGTTTTAGCCTTTAATCTAACACGGGATGCAACATTTTTTAGGTAATTGCTCTAAACATTTAGATTCCTGTCAATCAAATGATGTCCCTCAGTACTCACCATTGTTGCAAAAAGAAAGTAACAAAAATACTAGTCAATAGTTGGAAATACAATTTCTAGCTATATTATTGACAGTCGTGCATTGCCAGCAGTCTGACCAGACTCTATAATGGCTCAATTTTGTATTTTGATACTTAAATCCCTTTGACACAGAATGGACTCTTCAGAAAAGTTCAGATGACACTTTCATTTAATAAATTCAGCAGATTTAAAAGGTTATCAAGACAACACAAATGGGCAAGTATTATAAAAATCAGTGTGAAGAGGTAAATTAGACATTTTAAAGTCATTTCTTTGGGTGAAAAGTTGCCATTTAATCATTCAAGCGCCTTGTCCGGTATATACAGGAATACGTTATTTAGTGTGTGCTCCAAGACTTTTAGTCTCACTCACATTAAAATACATCAAGTGAGTGGGAAACATGGGTGTAAAATACGGTAGAGGCGGAGGACGTGATAATACAGACAGCAGTACATGTAGAAGTATAATACAAGTAAGAAAAGTGTGAGATATTATGTTTATTACTCACTAACATGGATAGTACAATGAAATGATTTGTATACAAGAAAAAAATCGTAAAAAACATGTATCGACTGTTAAATGTATTTTTGAACAGAAACTGATGATTTCTTTCCCGTATCAATTTTTATGAAAAATCTTTTTCAATGTAGTCAAAAAAGGCAGTTATTATCCAAAAAAGATTTTTTTTAAAATATTTGTTGGAAATTATCAATGTGAATCTTTTGAGCATTGCTATCGAAAACTTACGAAAAGTTTTTACACACACTATTGATATATATAGATGTATAACGCAAAAGAAATGCAAAATCACAAGCATCCAAAATAAGACCAAATTAAAACAGTACGAGTCAAGTATAAATATTTACATATTGCAATGTAGTTCTTAGTTTCACATTCACCTTATTTTCACTGCTAATTCATTTAAACATGCCATTTTTCAAGATTCAAGAATATTTTACAATATATTTACTGATTTAAGAAATTAAGAACACTGTATTTTGTCTTTAAAAAAAAACGTCACTTTATTTCAATATACTAACAATTAAACTTTTTCCTAGTTTTGGATGTCATTTTGAGCAATTCTTCGGAAAAAAAGACAGGCTATCTGTTGTCTTGATATTGTTACAAAAATATTAAATTTTCTACAAATGTGTATGTTATATAAAAACATAAATGTTCAAATTAATATTCATAAGATATTAATAGCATCTTACACAGACTTTGATTGAAATGTTTATTTTATGACATTTATGGTCCTTTTTCGGCATATGTTTTAAGGCTACCATGCAAAATTTAATGCAACTTTAAACAAATAATGTCCTGAATCTGGCAATATTGTCTTCTGCTGATTTTTTCCTACTGAAAATTTGAAAATTAACATTTCAGTCTAAAAGTGAAACTTAAAGGCACATTTCTATTCCATGAAAGTGATGTTGTTTTTTTAATCAATACATAATAATTAAAGGTAAACAAATAATATAAAATACATGCCTACATTATATAAAATAATCTGTATGGGTAATAAAAAACTAAAATGAAAGATAGCAAATATGAAAATGCTTTAATTGTCTACCTAGTTAAGTGACCTACTTAATCAGTATAAGGGAAATAACTTAAATATGCTAGAGATTTCGTTGAAAAAATCTCATTTGCATCACAAAAAGCATGTAAGATGTATTCCTGTACTAGAGAATTTTAAAATAATCTTATAAAATCAATAAATACTAATCAATTATATTTCAAGTTTGCTTTAGTAATCTGTCTTCATATTTTTTCTGAAAATTCTTTTCCCTACAAGTTATTCCTACATTTGTGTCATTGAAATTCATCCAAAAATATATATTATGTTCTTGCCATCAAAATTAACTTAGTGGGAAACAAATCATACAAAATTTGATTGAAAGAATAATGCAAAAGATAAGAAATTTTGACAGACTTTTAAAACTTTTGTCATGAGCAAAAAGATATCCCTGTTGAAAGAGTAGCCTTGTATTTTACACAATAAAACAACAAACTTAGTAATAGCTGCCAAACAGACTTAAAGTAGATTATCAAAGTAAAGAGGGAAAAAAAATCTGAGCATTTTTAAACATTCATTACAAGAAAGTTCTTAAATTTTCCTTACAATTTAATGCTTTCATATTCATTTAAAAGGGTCAGATTAGAAATAAAAACAATAGGAGGTAGTGAAACAAATATGTACAAAAACAGTTAAAAAAACCTAAATCTATAAATAGATGTGTAGAAACTCTATATTTAGATGTGTAAACTTCTAACATCTATTTTTAGATAAATATTTTAGTGAACACTAGAGATTTACTTAAAATATGGAGGGAAATCCTTTTATCTACTTTTAAAATAAATGATGGGACAACTATGTTCATTTCTCTACATAGAAAAGGTATCATCAGTTAAATATTCCCCATGTCCATGGAATTACCGTGTCTATGAAATAACTGTGTCCATGAAATTACAGTGTCCATGAAATTAAAATCTGATGGATTCTTGATGTTATTTTTCATAAAAAAAACTTGTTGACCATTATATAATTACATATTTAGTACTACATGTGTATATGTTCGCATAACATGCTTGAGGGTGATATAAAAAGACAAACTTTTTGGTACCTATTATCAATGAAACATAAGGCAAAACTTTTCAATGTACTGATTTTGTTTACAGTTTGTGTTTTTATACTTTATAAGGACACCATGTGACTCTCAAGTGCAGAAGTTCTATTTATAGATCATGTGATACAAATATTACTATTACAAACATTATCATGCATACAAAATATGATAAATGTGGTATTTGTTCAATACATTAATTACATGATTAAAACTTTTCTGAATATCTTTTATCTTTATTTAAATAAATGCAATATAAATAATAAAAGTGAAAACATATATTAATACTTCAGAATTTCACAAACTAAAATTTCAATTCATGGCATTTTGTAAACATGTACAACTGAAAATCTCAAACCTAGATAAAACGGGTTCCTCTCTGGTCAGAATAACTTGTTATCTAACATTTCTTGTCATAAATATTTCTTTCTCTTGTCATTTCCATTTTGAAGGAATAAAAAAAATCAAACTAAGATACTATCAAATTTCTTGAAATTTCTACATCCATTTCTTCAAACAAGATGGGAGTGAAAAAAAACAACTAATCAAACCATTTAATCATCTACTTCATCACGAAAGAAATACTCAGTAAAACGAAAGTATAACGTAGATTTTGATTGTACAACACTTTGACGAAATTCATGAAAAAGTTATATATTACACCAAGATTACACAATATCGAGTATTCAATATGAAAATTGTATAAAAAAAAGACAATGATGAAGATTCCTCTATGATCTGTGTATCATTCTACGTGGTTTAACATTTGATGGTAAATATTCACTTTTCTAATGTTACATGTCACACAATGCTGGTCTATCTCTCTCTATCGTCACCTTACTGACGCCTTACTGTAGCCTTGATGTTCTGAAAATAAAAACAATATCACATTATATCAAATGTATTAAATTTGAGCCACGCCATGACAAAACCAACATAGTGCGTTTGCATCCGCGCAGTCTGATCAGAATCCATGCAGTTTGCCTACAAACCCTATTACAAGTAGAGAAACTGGTAGCGAACTGCATGGCTGGTCTGGATCCATGCTGGTCAGAAACACACTATGTTGGTTTTTTATGGTGCGGTTCATTGTTTTATGGCACTTATAAAGTATTGTAAACCTGTACTGGTGTTGACATGTATTAATCTTGAACTTACATTGGTTGTATTTTTTATGATCAAACATTTAGATAAAACTTTTATCAGTAATACATTGTGTATTAATTATTAAATCTTTCATTGTGTGAGTCTGGAATAAGAAAAGTTCTTCCCCAGTCATAAAATCATCAACTTTGTTTCAGGGAAAATTACAGAATTCTGAAAATTTTGAAACTTGTGCCACTACAACATGTTGAATTTATTTCAAACAGAAAAACAATTATTTTATAAGTATGTAGGAGTACTTTTCTTAACTTAATGAACCAACAAAAAACTGAAAATCAATGTACAAAATGGTGGACATTTTCAATTATCGATGTAAAAATGGTGGAAATATTCAACTATTTATGGTTGGATTATTTTTTGGTCTCAATCAGTCAAAAAGACAAGAAAAATTGTTTTAAAAAAAAAACTCATTTAAATTCTAAACAGCAAGAAAGAAAGAATTCTTGTATAACATAGAAACAAAATTTAACAGACCAAACATGGCCAATCTGATACAGTTTAAACACAATAATCATCAACTTCCTGAAAATTGGCAAAAGATTTGACAAGGGCAAGGAATGCAGAAATTCTGAATCCTGGATGCAAAATAGCTTGAAAATTGCTTATATTCAACTGGTCTAAGATTTGGGAACAATTTGCTATCTTAAATGCCAAGTGTGTTTGCGGAAGGAAACAAGCAAAGCCAACATCAATGAGGCCAAATCAATGAGTCACAAGAACAGCTCTCAAGTAACCTTTATCATAAGTAGCAATGTGTCAATAGGATATGACTATATTCCACTGTTTGCCAATCAAATCTCTATAACCCCACCCCAGGTAGAATACTTCGGGGCATAAAAAACCTTTGCATTATTCGTTCTCAAGTAATTTAAAAGGACAAGAATTTTTGAAATAGAGTCATTGTGACCTCAACCTTTGACCTACTGAACTAAAAATCAAAAGGGGTTATCTACCAGTCAGGGCAAACCTACGATTTAAATCTTTGAATTGAATGCCAAAGTGTTTTTCTAGCTATTGGTCTTATAAGCTTCAAAGGTTCCAGACAACAGTGACCTTAACCTTTGACCCACTGACCACAAAATTACTAGTCATGGCCAACCTCTAAACCAAATCTTAAAACAGTTTATCAACAAGCTTAAAAAAAAAAGAACAATAACTTTAAAAAAAAAATCACTTTTGAACATGGTTACCTCAGATTAATTTGCTTCCTTTACTTTGATTACTTGATGATGAACTACTTGGGACTATTTAATTAAATTTACTTTTATAATAATGTCATTTTTTATTTACATATCAATTATATAGTAATTTGTTTAAATAACAATATCATTCAATATCTTCTTTTAAAGTGGAGACCAAAATTAAATGAAAGCCTCTTAAGAAATAAAAGTGACATTGAAAAATTGTGAAATAAACATAGCATAATACAATAAATTACCATGAAAGTTGCATTGAAACTCAATTAGATAAGAGCAGACAGTGATTTTTTTCCCTGTATTTTACAGCTGAATAAAGGCTGTTTTCCCTAGCCCAAAATAGGTATATTTTCCCCTAAAAAATCTAATATTTCCCCTAAAATGCCCTGTGCACATTCTTCATTTACAAATTTCTTGGTTATTACTTGAATCTTTTCACATTCCAAAAATTTTTAGAACATTTTTTCTCAAAACTTGATTGTCTTGAAATATTTTGGCTCATCTGGGGGTGTGCAGCTTTAACCTTGATATAAGCAATTAATAGACCAACCTTTTGAATGTTGATACCAGTGAGCTTCTCAACAACTGTTGGCATCTTCTCCATAATGTCAAACACCTCTCCTGTAAGTTTAGACACTCCCACATCTCCTTTACCACTTGATACCATGGTAACCTTCTTTGCATGACACAATGGTGCCGAGATCTCAGCAGCAACCTGTCACGGCAAAAAAAACAACAACAACACTTTACCATATCTTTTGTAAGAAAACAGGTTTTTTTAAACTTGAATATGGTTTCTAATCAACTTATACAACCTTATGAAAGTTAAACTTATGTATCAAACAGGCTATAAATCTTCTAAACAATTCTAAAATATTTCTTTAAATTTATTATTTCTTAAGAAATTAATCAGCAAGGTTCCTTTCTTTCATTTATTCATTTATGTTATTTTTTTTGTCAAAGCAAAATGTAACTCTGTAATGGCTCAATGGGCTTACACAATGGGCTTAAACAACAGTGTGCCAATAATAATTTCTCAATACGTAAATATATAATAGGGGTGGGAGAATAGAAAAATAGCCAAAACAAAACGGGTAAAATCAAATGGCAAAACTTAAGCTATGGTAAAGGTTAGAAAATAATTGCTTAATTGAGTGTTATTTTCCATAAAAAAAATGTAGAATTATCAACACTGATAATTAAAAAAACTTTGAAAAGTAATACTTTCTCCTAGCTGAATTTGAACCAAAAGTTAAAAATTCATGTTATGAAAGTGTTGTCATAATACGGCTGTATGAAATGATTTACTTTAGGTAATGTTTCCAGGATCATGTCTATCATAGCAGCATCCTGGTAGTCCTTCCATGCGTCTGCCTTCTTTGCCATCTGTTCAGCCTCAGCTTTAGCCTTCGCCTCGATAGCGTACGCCTCCGCTTCCCCGCGCACACGTACCGACTCTGATTCTGCTTCTGCCTCCAGTATAACTCGGTTCCTGAAATAATAGATAGCCATGATCTTTTCCTTTCTGCTATTAGATTTAGATTATTACAATAGTTCAGTTATAAATTATTTCAGCATTCTTACCAACAATCTGCCACTTTAGATGTTTCTACATGAATATTATCAATAAAGTAGAAGACCAATGTTTGATCTATATATCTGTCACAGGCGCCAACAATGTCTACTTTTTTCAAATGAAAGGATTTTATGCCCTTCATGGGATTCCAACACACTACTTAAAGTGAGCAACCATTTTCAAAGGAGTTTATATGTAACACTACAGGGAAAATAAACAAGAGGGCCATGATGGCCCTGAGGTCGCTCACCTGTATATAGGGCCCCGGAGCGGCCCCGGAGCGGGGCCAGTTTAAACCCCAGGGCCAAATTTGACCCCAGGGCTTTTATTTGAACAAACTTTGTAGACACTCACTAGAAGATGTTTCATGCCTCATATCTAAACTCTAGCTATTTGGGTTTTTTCAAAGAAGCTTTTTTTAAGTTTTGCTATACACATATAAGGAAAATCAATGACCCCCGGGGCGGGGCTAATTTTGACCCCAGGGCTTAATTTGAACAAACTTGGTAGACACCCATTAGAACATGTTTCATGCTAAATATCTTAGCTCTGGCTCTTTGAGTTCTTTACAAGAAGATTTTTTAAGTTTTTACTATATGCATATAGGGAAAATCAATGACCCCCTGGGGCGGGGCCAATTTTGACCCCAGGGCTTTTATTTGAACAAACTTGGTAGACACCCATAAGAAAATGTTTCATGCTAAATATCTTAGCTCTAGCTCTTTAGGTTCTTTAAAAGAAGATTATTTCAGTTTTTACTATATGCATATAGGGAAAAACAATGACCCCCTGGGGCGGGGCCAATTTTGACCCCAGGGATTTAATTTAAACAAACTTGGTAGACACTCACTAGAAGATGTTTCATGCCAAATATCTAAGCTCTAGCTCTTAGGATTTTTTAAAAGAAGATATTTAAAGTTTTTTCTTTCGGTTGCCATGGCAACCAGAGTTCTGCATGGAATTAAATTCTTTGAACAATTTTTAAAGGTGACCACCAAAGGAACATTCCTGTGAAGTTTGGATGAAATTGGCTTAGTGGTTTATGAGGAGATGTCATTTAAAGTAAAGTACACGGCCGGACGCCGGACGGACAGACGCCGGACGAAAAGCGATCACAAAAGCTCACCCTGTCACTTTGTGACAGGTGAGCTAAAAACTTAAAGATAAGACACATTTATATAGTAAACTGCCAACTTACAGTATATTGATTCTTAGCTAAAGGTAAAACCTGAACATCATATACCTAATGATCTCATAATGATCTTTTGTACAATCTTTAAAATGTAAGAAATTCTACCAATATGGATAAAAGGTTGAAGTTAGATAAACATGTAGGGTTAGTTACCTATCAGCTTCAGCCAGTTTCTCCATCTTGTATTTCTCCGCCTCGGCTGGTTTGCGGACCTTGGCTTCCAGCTCACGCTCACGTCGTGTAATTTCCTGTTCTTGAAGCTGAATCTGCTGAGTTCTCTCAATGACCTTGACCTGCATCTCCTCATCCTTTATCATCTGACGCGTCTTTGCAGTCTGAAATTTTACACCGAGAAAAAATGTTTCCATTATTCTATTGTAATTTTGCCATATAGATTGGATGCTATACATTTATTATCAGGAGAATTTTCAATTGTGGAATCAAAGTAGGAAATGTATTTAATGAACAGAAAACGTGAGCAATTCAATTCCAGATCTTCTATTTTTAGAAACGAACATCAATAAAGCATTACAAATAGCTCTCGAGACACTGTTTTGAGGAAGTCTTTACAGTAATATGATGCATTTTTAGAAGATAAAAATTACTAAAATACTTAATTTGAAACATAGCTGAAGGCCGCCTTAAAGTTTGCGAACAGCAACAGGAATGCCAACATAACTAACAATACCTCTAATTTTTTTCTTCTAAAAAAGTCAAGCTAAAAATAATTCTATAAATGCACTTACAGCACACATCACATGTAGACATATTTCCTTTCAAAAACATTTGTGAAGAATTATTTTATTTCACAGTTTTAAAGATCACTACAAATGGCTGTTAAAGGTTAGGATGAAGATCACATTATCAGGTGTTATATTAGCAGACTAAAATGTGATCAATCTATTTTAAACATAAGGTTTTTACCTGCAATTCTGCGGCTAGGTCACTCTCGGCTTTCTTGGCGAACACTTCCTTGTCGTACGCTGCTTTCTTAAGATGGAAGTCTCTTTCAGCATGAGCTATCTCAATATCATTGGCATACCTGGAGGCCATTCTCTTTTCCTCTGCTTCACTTTCCTATTTATATCAATTATTACACTAAACACAAGAAAACTTTGATTTTTTTTTTGTTAATAACTAAGTAGGTCACTTGTTTTTATGATTAAAATATTATTAAGACATATTGCAGCCATAGAAAAAACAGGCCAAGTGAAATATTACAGCTTGCAAATGGAAGTTCTTTACATTCTGTAATCACACTACACTAGGAAATAATCTTCTCATGGATTAACCCAACACTTTATATTAGCAGAAACATTGTGATAACATTATCATTCACATTCTACCTTTTCACAATCCAAGAAAGGCAATAATTACAAGAAGATATGATATAAGTGTGTATGCTAATAAGATTCACTGGCTCCATTCAAAAAAGTATATTTTATATTAAATGTGCTTAATAATTTCAACTTGGCAGTCTGTTTCCGAACAATTACTTTTCATTTATGTTTTGTTGTAAGCCATGTCAACACTGTAACATTACCAGACCCCAGGTTCACTATGATTTATGGATCAGGATCAAATATGACATTCAAATATTCTCCATGTTTATCTATTTAATATGAACTTGACAGAATTGGACTTAAACAAGAGCTGTCACAGAACATGACAAATGCCCCCTGAAGGATTTTAGTTATAAACCACCTATTACATGTTGTGTGGTGGTAAAAATTGACAAAGTTCGAACCGCAGCAGTGACCTTTAAGTTAGACAAAGAAACCTGGGTCTTGTTCACAACACATTTTCCATCTATGGTGACTTCATGTATATGGAAGTTACAGAACGAACACAACAACCACCATTTATATGTATATAACATAAATATTGAAAAAGTTTAAACCCCAGCAATGACCTTGAACTACGGCGTAGGAACACAGGTCTTAAGGGCAACACATCATAATATATTCATGATAATTTCATAGTGAAATAAAAACTTTCATGCATATTAGTTTCAGAGCAGACAAGACCATCTATGATTATATGTAAATTAACATCAAAATTGACAAAGTTTGAACCCCCACCATCAAAATTGACAAAGTTTGAACCCCCACAGTGACCTTGACCATAGTCATAGAAACCCCGAGTCTTGTTCGCAACACACCATACATATATGAAAGAAATATTAAAATACTTTCATGCATACTGAAGTTTTAGAGCGGACACGACCCCCACCATCTATATCTATATAACATAACAAATGACAGTTTGAACCTCCACAGTGACCTTGACCTAAGATATAGAAACCTGAATCATGTTTGTGGCACACCATATATCTATGGTTATTTAATGTGAAAGAAAAATTAAAATACTTTCATGCATTCTGAAGTTTCAGAGCGGACAGGACCACCACCTTCTATATCTATGTTACATAAAAAATGACAAAGTTTGAACCCCCACAGTGACCTTGACCTTAGTTGTAATACCTGAGACTTGTTCGCGACACACCATACAACTATGGTTAATTCATATGTGAAAGAAAAATTAAAATCCTTTCATGCATACTGAAGTTTCAGAGCGGACACGACCACCACTGTATAAAGCAGTGATAAATGTTCCAATTCATGTAGGTCTAGACTAATTATTTATGTGCAAAATTTTAAATCCCAAATGACATAAAATTGAAAAGCATTAAAATCAGAATTGCTTTTCACTCACAATGTTTTTCACTCATATGTGGCAAAGAATAGCAAAAAAAAGATTTTCAATTAACTTCTGAATATATAAATCAATTATCTGTTGCATATCTTTCTGTTTTCAGTTCCCAAATCGATCTTTTTAAGAAATTTCAATTTTATGTTTATAGGCTTTTGTACTGTACAGTAAGGGAGACAACTTAACTAATTACTATGCCCTCACTCCCTCCATGCTGACTATATATATAATTAGAATGAAATAACTTTAAAACTATCAACATCAAGAGCCAAGAATAACTATTTCTAACAGTGTCATGAATAAATACAGTGTTAATTATATGAAATTGTATCATAGTTTAGTGACCTTTCTATTGTAAATAAGTCAGTTAAATCGTATACCCATAAAATCATAGTGCGTTGACTGGAGTGCAGGTAGTTGTTACCGGCACACCAGTTACCGCACTATATATCAGGGATAATAATAGAGCATGCTCATTGATTGACTACATTTTTTCTGGGGTTTACTTATTGTTACAACTTGGGAATGGATAATTATAGAATATCATATTCAGAGGGTTCATTTATTTGGGGGGTTTCATATTTTGCAACAGGAAAACTGTTTTTAATTTTGCCTATGATACAAAAGAGAAAGAGCATCAAAACACTTGGCAATATGATTTAACTCGGGGGCCCACTCTGATTTTCCAACTCATACAAATCAGATAGCCTTGTGTCTCAATGCGCTTTCTATAACTTACAGGTACAAGAATCTCACTTAATATGCATTTAAATTTCAGCATGCTTTGTGAATAGAAAACTGTATGAATAGACTCTAGAAAGAAAATTATTGCTACTGTATAAAATAAATAACAAAGATGGACAACAAACAAGCACACCTCCAGATTTCAACCAATGAATGAAAGGATACAGTTTTTGCAGAAAATTCAGTCAACTCTTGATATCTTGATAGAAAATACAGTCAACCATCTATATCTTGACATTGATAAACCTGAGTTTTGGGTTTTCTTGATCAAAATTTATGTCATATGATTTCCTCTATGTCATATGATTTCCTCCCAACAATATCTTTATAGAAATATATTTGTTTATTTCGATTTTTTTTTTTTTTTTTAGATTTTTCAGTATTAAGAGTCATCTTTGGGCAACAATCTTTTGTTAATTACAACTTGTATATTTCCATTTGCCTTTGGGTATGGCAAAATTTCTCTACAACAATTGATTTCGCATCGAGTCTTACAAACGGCCACATGACTTATTAATTTTTTTTTTTCTGACGGTTACAGCATAATTGAGATAATGAGAGTTGTTGGTACAATCCTCTGAGATGAAAGTTTGACAGAGGGATATTACTTTAACCATTACTTCGATGTCTGTCTCCTGCCAGGTACATTTAGTAAAATAACAATCTGTTATTTTTGGTGTAATTCTGGAGGTGTACCTTTAAACATAACATCAGGTCTTATAACAGTCTAATGAAGAAGCTAATATTTCATGCATAACAAAATTTGGGAAACACTAAATTTATGAACAGAATTGAGGTAGCATTAAATAAACTAATACAATTTTAACCACAGAACATTTATACAGAGATGTAAGTGTTTTTGTTGTTTTTTTATTATATCAATTTTAGAAATATTAGTTGCATCCTTTCAATATTATTTGAAGTAAATTTTCATTCCCCCGGCAATTTCAATAATTGAGGTTGGACTGTAGTTCCAAGTTGAGGGTAAATATGAATCTACTTGTGAATTGATCAGCATAAATTTCTGCATAAATGCCAATGTTTACTTTTTCCTATAACAAATTTTTTATACATGGATATAAAGTTAATTTTTTTTGACTGATTTCTTAGATTTATCTGCAGCTTTTCTATGAAGCAATAAATATGTCAGACAATTAAATTCACATTTCTTTAAAAATATCAATTCAAAAATGTTAACCCTTCCTGATCAGGCGAAAATTATAAATTTTTTTTTTGCTATTTAGACAGGCCAATATGTAGAAAATCCATAATTTGTGGGATATTTCGACAACAAAACCTAAGTAATAATATGTAATATAACTCATACACGTCGAATCTTACATCTCCATCAGTTCACTTGTATGACAGCATTCAAAATGTCATACAACACATAACCAACCTTAATTCCGGAATCTTTTTGGGCTTCCGCCTCCCCAATTCTAGCGTCCCTTTTCACCTGGGCAGTCCTAGCCATACCCAGGGACCTTAAGTAGCCCTAATATTGATAGAAGAGGGTGTCTATTAGACATAGGTATCATAGGTGTTAGATGTAAAATGACGATTATTTACCAGCATACCACAGGGTGAAGCTTGTCAGGAATGATATGGCACTTTATAACTCCTTCTTACCATCCAAAATACCAATCTAATCAATTAAATGTAGGAAATTATTCCTCCCTGACACATGTAAATGACAAAATTAAATGGCTCCCCATTTTTTAATCTTTAAGAAGTATGTTCATCATTTATCATTACTAAAGTTTCAGTTTATCTGCCAGTCATTCAATCTAAGCCACACCCCTGCATGATGATTTGATAACGATATGTATAGGCCAGCCTCCAATGCCTGTAATTGTGATTGACAGGTGCTCTAGACCAATGACAGTGCAGGTCACCTTAATTCCTGAATCCTTCTTAGCCTCAGCTTCTCCTATCTTGGCATCTCTTTGTACCTCTGCTGTTCGTTTCATACCCAGTGCTCGTAGATAGCCCTAGAAAAATCCCAATTTATATTATTTCAATTGGCAAATTATAAAACTGATCAAGTTATTAACTTCAAATTTTAATACTGATAAAGCCACACCTCAAAAACACTGACATAATTCCACATTTCAAGAAGAAATCATCTACAGGAAAACAAATCACTGATAAGTTTTTGTTTTTCAAATTGTCTTCTCTTTTATAAACATGACTGTTACCTGTATGGAAAAGTTGTATTAGTAAAAGACAAAAATCATAATCTGCTACTGGATATATAAACTTCAAGTTAAGGATTACAGACCCCAATGTGCATGACTGCTACATATGAAATTAGTATTTTTTCAAATAACGATGTCAAAGTGAAAAGTAGGTAGAATGAAAACTGCAAAAGAATAAAAGAAAGAAAGAAAGCAATTGGGACTTTGGGTAAATAGAAGTATTGTACAATTATAGACTTATGTTGACATCTATATATACAGTACTTTTATGAATGGTTTAAAGCATAATCTGACTAAAGTCAGTATTGACCAACTCATTAGGGGTTTGTAAACCTTAATTGGGTCAAAACAATCAAACATTCAAGCATTGATCTAAAATAAACAAAAAATGTTAATTAATTAAAAGCATTCATATTCCACACATGTCATTGTTAATGCCTGCAATAAATATTGAAAGCTTCATTATACATATATACAATAACAATACGCTGAACTTCATTCACTTTGTAACCAAGACTGTAAATTATTAAACAGTTCAAATATACAATGGTTTGTAATTCACCATATCCAAACTTCTAACATATCAAGCCACAAAAAAGACTACATTAAGCAAAAAGCTAAGAAGATAGCAAGGGCAGATTATCAATGTAATAAATATGACAAAGTTGATAGGGTAGAGTCACTGCCCCTGAATTGAAACAACTTCAATATTTTGTCACATCCTGAATATCAATATGCCAATACGGAATCCCTTGCTATAATTTAGAAATGTACAACCATGTTACCAGTTCTTCAAAACTAATTTCTACTTTTCTATAAGTAAACATTGTTTAAAATACAGATATATTTTTATAGTTTCAAAATGTAAGAATTGACATTTGAATTTTCTGAGATTTGATATTCAAATCTGTATCCTATTATTTCCATTTTGAGGGTTGATCGCAAATTATGTTGTATGCCCTTTTTATTTTATAAAAGTTACTGTAGTTTTGCCGTCAACCCCTGTTCAAAGATAAATTGAAACTTTTAACCTTAAACAGTTATCATGCAGTCAAGTTACAATAACTGAAATTAAAGTAACTCATTCACAGTCAAACTTTCCGGAAGATACAAAATAACAAAATATGTATGTCAGCCATAGTGTACCTTTGAGTGCCCTTTTATAACATACAAACTTTGTAACAAAATTGGAAAAATTAGCATAATATGGACTGTGAATGAGTTACTTGAATAGCATTAACTAAAACAATAAAAAAAACAACAAGGAACTCAAAATTAATATAATAATATCTCCACATAAAAAAACAAAAGTATTTCTATATCCTTGTTATGATGTAATGAAAAGACAATTTTACACTCAAACCAAACCTATTGAAAATATCAGTATATTCTTTAAAACTGAATTTTTTGGAGATCAAGGTCTCAATTTGGACATAACAAAAAAATATGTATAAAAGAATCATGCAAGTATCTATTAACTTAAAACGCTTCTATCACACGGATACATAATTAGTATTGTTTAGTTTTCCCCAGAATATTTTTTCAGCCACATTATGAAAGTTTGGTTCCAATAAGTACCCCACCCCCAATACCAATTAAAATGCAATATGCTTCATTATTTTCATGATAAAAGTATTTGTTACAATTATCTACAGAGTCAGAAATTAAACAAGAGGGCCATGATGGCCCTGAGGTCGCTCACCTGTATATAGGCCCCCGAAGCGGGGCCAGTTTAAACCCAAGGGCTTTTATTTGAATAAACTTGGAATTAAGACACCCATTAGAAGATGTTTCATGATGTTAAGTTTTTGCTATACACATATAAGGAAAAGCAATTACCTTCTCCCCCCCCCCCACCTGCAGAGTTAATTTTAACCCAAGGGCTTTTATTTGAACAAACTTGGTAGACACCCATAAGAAGATGTTTCATGCTAAACATCTAAGCTCTAGATCATTGGGTTTTTTAAAAGAAGATTTTTTAAGTTTTTACTATACACATTTAGTTAAAAACAATGACACCCCTGGGGCGGGGCCAGTTTTGACCCAAGGGCTTTTATTTGAACAAACTTTGTAGACACTTATTAGAAGATGTTTCATGCTTAATATCTAACTCTAGCTATTTGGGTTTTTTCAAAGAAGATTTTTTAAGTTTTTACTATACACATATAAGGAAATCAATGACCCCCGGGGCGGGCCAATTTTGACCCCAGGGCTTTAATTTGAACAAACTTTGTAGACACTCACTAGAAGATGTTTCATATTCAATATCTAAACTCTAGCTATTTGGGATTTTTTCAAAGAAGTTTTTAAAGTTTTTGCTATACACATATAAGGAAAATCAATGACCCCCGGGGCAGGGCCAATTTTGACCCCAGGGCTTTTATTTGAACAAACTTAGTAGACACCCATTATAACATGTTTCATGCTAAATATCTTAGCTCTAGCTCTTTGAGTTCTTTAAAAGAAGATTTTTTAAGTTTTTACTATATGCATATAGGGAAAATCAATGACCCCCCTGGTGCAGGGCCAATTTTGACCCCAGGGCTTTTATTTGAACAAACTTGGTAGACACTCATTAGAAAATGTTTTGTGCCAAATATCTAAGCTCTAGCTCTTTGGGTTCTTTAAAAGAAGATTTTTTAAGTTTTTACTATATGCAAATAGGGAAAATCAATGACCCCCGGGGGCGGGGCCAATTTTGACCCCAGGGCTTTTATTTGAACAAACTTGGTAGACACTCATAAGAAGATGTTTCATGCCAAATATCTAAGCTCTAGCTCTTTGGGTTCTTTAAAAGAAGATATTTAAAGTTTTTTCTTTCGGTTGCCATGGCAACCAGAGTTCTGCATGGAATTAAATTCTTTGAACAATTTTTAAAGGTGACCACCAAAGGAACATTCCTGTGAAGTTTGGATGAAATTGGCTTAGTGGTTTATGAGGAGATGTCATTTGAAGCAAAAGTTGACGGCCGGACAGACGACGGCCGGACGAAAAGCGATCACAAAAGCTCACCCTGTCATTTTGTGACAGGTGAGCTAAAATTAAAGGAGTGTACAGGTGAAAAAGCAAATGCAAAATCAATTAGCGTATCTCAATTAGCATATCTACACTACCTATTTAAGTTAACCAGCTAAAAGACAGTGCTTTAATTTGTAATTAGTTTCTTTGAAATTAAAAGCTTTGTATACAAATAAAACCTTATTTTAAATTGTAATGTTTTGGAAAAACAATTGAGATCTGTTTTAGCTTTTTGGTATTGTAAGACCATATAAAATTATAACTAACAATATTCCTTATCAATCTAAATTCTAAAGTTCCATTAGTATAAAAGGAAAATAGAAATGTGTTCATAGGAACAGATTGCCCTTACATTCCACTGTTTTGTCAGTCTATGTACTGACAGCTTCACATACAGATAATGTCAAAATTTTATCTCTCCCCCCCACCTACCCTTTTGGCATTAATAAAAAAATCTCAACCTTTTCAGCTCCTTTTCTAGATAAAAACTAGGAAACAAACAATCATCAAAAGGCTTCCCAAGTTATAAAATCAACGAGAAAGCAATACCAAAAAGTCACATGATCTTGCCATGAAAAAGAATAGAACAGTGGAAAATGAAAGCTGTTTTGAGAAAGAGCACTATATCCAAGTAGTAGAAGACATCCAGGATACGTGCAGGAGTAAATATATGTGTATTTTTTAAGATATAGAACAGAAATTTAGATGAAAAGAAAATGCACATCATTGGTCAATTTGTAAGATATACAATAAAGTTGGCCAATCAAAAATCTGGACTTTTAGACTGACCATTTTTAAGTAATGCTTTTATGTACTGAATTGTGAATGCATGCAGAATGTGTAGAGGATATTTAAGGCCGTTGTTGATAGAAGCCGTACAGATTTTCAAACAAACAAACAAGCACTGACAAAAACTTAAAAGAAAATAAAGTCCACAGAAAATAGGCATACACAGGATTTTTTCAAAATATCTTATTTCTAGACACTTAACTTCTCTGGGCCAAGTCTGATAGACTAGATAGGAGAAAAAAGTGATATAAGCAAAAGTTTAGTACAAATATATGCTGGTATCATTTAATAATTTTCAGGAGTAAAAAAATCTAGAAAGTGTATAGAAATTTTAAAATGAACAAGTTAATATTTCAATAGTTTACTTCCATATAGTTAATAATTCAGATTTACAGTTCACCACTTTACTTCAAAGTGACATTATGAAAATTTAAGAGTAAATGGCAATTGTATAGGTAAAAGTCAAAATCACTTTACCGTAATTGTTTTCAATTTTATAATTTTATATCTTAGGTAGCTCGACTTGACAACAACAAAAATGTACATAATGTCGCTTCAAGAACATTGAATGAGAGTATATAGACCAAGATGCAAGAGTGTATTCTAGAATAATTTCCTCTTCTTTTAGAAAAATTCATGCTCCATCCAAATAGAAAGGGCAAGATAAAAGTTGGGATTTTTTCCCCCTTAATTTGTTTCTGACTCATTTTACTTTGTGATAGATCTGTGATAGCCTTTGTTTTTTTGTAGTTTTTTTTTTACTAAATTATATGTATTCAAATTTTATTTTATATTTTGAAACACCTATTGTTACTAAGTACTTGCATCTTTGTGAACTTCAATAGGTTTGGTTTGAGGATTTTAGTTAACGTTCAAGCTAACATCAAAAGCTGCAAATTCAAATGAATCCGGGAAAAATCTAAACTTAAATATGTAACTGTAACTAAGCGACAAATATCAGCCTAGATATAATGCAAAAATAAATTTGCTTTGGCCCATACAACTAAAACAAAAAATCTGAAATCATTACATCACCACACTATAAGGACTAACAACTCATTTTTGATAATTCTAAATAGATATTTATAATTGCTTAATTGATAGCTTGACAGCTTGACAATTAACTTCAACATTTAGAAAAATCTTTTACACTGATAAGATAGAAGAAATTTGCATATTATCTTATACCATAAAATGAGAATCTATGAGACAAACCAGGTCTAAATATTCAATATTATTGGTTTAAATCTAAAAGCCGATCACAATATACACCAATCAAAATGTTTCAGACAGCCTAACAATTCACCAATAAAGAGGCTTGATAAAAAATCTCTGTTCACCAATTAGATGTAACAAAATATAATACCTCTTCATCTCTGATGTCCTTCAGTGTGTAACTGACCACACAGATTCCCATGTTGACCAGGTCAGATGAGGCTACATCAAATACATGCTTAGAGAACTTCTTACGATCCTTGTATATCTCCTGAAATACAAAATTTATGTCAATTTTTAGTTCTTTATGATGCTAAAATTCTGTATTAGGATTTTTCTGCTTTGGTTTAAACACTATTTGAGCCTCGTCATGACAAAACCAACATAATGGGTTTGCGACCAACATGGATCCAAACCAGCATTTGCATCCGCGCAGTCTGATCCAAGTTGTTTGCTATCAGCTTCTCTACTTGTTATAGAGTTTGTAAGCGAACAGCATGGATCCTGATCAGACTGCGCGGATGCGTAGGCAGGTCTGGATCCATGCTGGTCGCAAACCCATTATGTTGGTTTTGTCGTGATGCGGCTCATTTATTTCTTCTTCAATATTTACAAACAAAATTATATAATATAAATTGTATTCAGGACTGAGTAGAAAGCTTAAAGCTTATATGAAACTCTCTTTGTGTTTACATTCTTCTGCTTTGAACACGGAGATTCAAGGAATTTTGAATGATTTGATCAAAATGGTAAAAACCAAGCATTCATCTGTTACAGGTCTAAACTGACTTACAGACTGGCAACTTTATTATTACTGTAATGTTGTATATTCCCCACATATGTCCCTGTCTGTATATAGGACATCTCTGTATTATATGTTCTGTACTATCCAGATACAACAAGTGGGAATATTACAGGCAGACTGGTTTGTGATTACTCTCATAAATAATTCATAAATGTACAGGAAAATATTGAGTACAGTCAACTAACTGATATCATACTGTGTATTGAACATAGAGTTGGATCATGTCTATAATCTAACCTTAGATATTTAGAAAATTAATAATGATCATATAAATGTATATATATGATCGTGAATTTATTTTGATTGCATACATATTCAGAGATACCAAATTCCTGTATTGCACGTTACTTGCCCTTCTTTGTACTTGGAATTGTAAATTTTAACAATATTTTATACTGAAATGAAAATGCTGTATATTCCAATCAGACAGCACAGATAAAAAGATGTGGGATATAACTTTAAAGCAGTTATTACCAGAGTCAACAAATTAACATTCTAACACTACCCGCATTTTCCCTATTGAACATAGAAGAACAGAAAGTGTGTGTTATTATGCAACAGATGCACAGTTTGACGTTCTATATTTAGACCTGTGACGTAATCATTATACACGTGACGTAACCACTAAAAATCAGACGCGCTGAAAATAAGTTCGGAAACAAATCAGACGGAATTTTCCTTCACTATCATGTACCGCAACATTTATTTGTTAATGTCGTGTTAGAATCGAAATAACATATCCAATGCAGTGATTTTATCGCTTGATAACATCACTGTTTGTCGTTCGGATGCGCATCATTATATCACTCGGGCTACGCCCTCGTGATATAATTCCTCGGATCCGAACTCCAAACAGTGATGTTATTGAGCGATAAAATCACTGTTTGGGATATATTATTTCTTAAATAAACAAACCCTAATACAGCCAATAAAAACTTTACCTCAACTGTCATGTTTCCCATGATAGCTCTCTGATGACCTTCAAGTGTTTCCTGGGCAACCTTGCGTACCTCGTTCTCTGACTTCCCAAGGAACAATTCACAAGCAGAGGCCAACATTTCCTGGCTCTGACCCTGAACCTTTACCTACAGGGTCAACAAGTGTTACCATTAGAAATTTATTAACATTTACATGTTGCATTATGAAATTTTATCTTTAAAACAAAAATATATCCATCATTTCAGCAGTAAATAAAATATTTATATCATGTATATCAAGTATTATATAGTAAAAATTTACCTATATTTATATGTTCAATTATAATAAATTTTACTATTGCAATTTTACTTACAAATATTTATCTAAATCATTGAAATTATAGTAAAATAACTTATTAATAGAAGTCTTGAAACAAATTTTGACATTATAATTTCTTATAAAGTAACCTTTAACAATCAACACAACCAATAAAATAATTGAAAAAAAAACAACATTAAAATAATGAATAATTAATAAATATATACAGTCAAATCTGTTTATAACTATTCAAATCCAAAAACAAACAGTCCATGTTCACAAGAGATTTCTCAAAATATCTGTATGTTTTTTTAAAAAAAGAAATCAAATCAACAATGTTAATGGGAACTCCCTATACAGCTGCTTCGAAAAAGCTAGAGACATGGCCAGACTAGAAAGGAAAAAAATAATAAATTTTTTAGCTTCAGTGACCTTGACTCAACTTAAAGTCAAAGTCTATGGATCAAGCATCTAAGATCACTGAGACTCAACCAATTAATAATTGTGCTAACAGAAATCGTAAGTATGGAAATACAGAGGGAGGAAAGCCTTGCAGCCGTTTTGTACCACAAAAAATGTTCGGGCCTTTAATCTGTTGGTATTTTATGTTGTGATTTTCTATGTATGGTATTCATATAGTCAACATTATCCATGTATATACAGATCATCATTTAAGACCACAGATTTGACTGTATATAATTATTTACCTCAGCATGCATTGAGAACAATGGGTAGGGATATTTAAGGGTTTTATCCAAAAGCTTGTGTTTTACATCATGTACATATGTTATATAGTTTATTAAAGCACAAGTCATCATATACTGGCAATAACATCTTACTCATATAACTCAATATTATAATAACAGCTCAAAATGTAACCAAACTTGTATTTTATCACAAGGTCATAAAATAAGGTAACTTTTTTCTTTTTTTTTAGTATATCGTGAAAAATAAAAGGCTGGAAATATTTGATGTGTACATTTTGATAAAGTCACTATATAAGTATAGTTTACAGTTTATACAATAAATAAATAAACTGTTGTAATGTGATATTATACACCTTATAGTGAAATCTACTTTCAATTAAAAAGAATGGTAATGACAAATGATAAGATAAATTCATATTTATTATAAATCTGACAGGCCAGTAAGAAACCCTGGGCATCTATCTATCTGTCTCTATTTTCATACAAACAGATGTAAAAATTTCTTACTGACCTATTCATATTGATGAAATCTTATATTTATTAATTTCTTGATTACAACCACCAGGTTATCAATGAAAATTATATACTTTCTCTATACATATCAGCAATAATTATGTGGATTTTTATATAAAAGTCTATTTCATAAATATACTAATTAAAGTCAATTTTATATTTATATAGATATCTATTATATCTTAAGTTTCCATTTCTAAACGTAATATATAGGTTAAATTTTTGAGAAATCTTGGTTATACCTTCCTTTACCACACTTATGATACAATATTATAATTATATGCACATCCAATACCATTTCATTTATCACTTTGAACACTACCCCCCGTTATCGTCATCACCAATCATTATTATTTATCCAAAATTGTATAACCAAGAGAACAACAAAATTGATGACAAGACAAAGGGGAGGGCAAAATTATCATGAACTGTAAAACATTTATACATATATTATGTATTGCATTTCATCACCTTATTAATAAATAATCACTAAATAGGGAAGACAAAGTCAACAGCTCATATTTATGTATTCAACCAAACCTTACTTTGTTGTATTAGTTCCATGGAATGTTATTTCACACAGTATGTTAAAGAGGGTGGTGGGAAGGGGAGGGGTGTGACCTAGATTAAAAGATATCCTACCTGAGCAATACCAGTGACCGAGACTGCCACGCCCTTTTGTGTGTAGACGTTGTGGGATTCTATATTCAAGGTTAACACATTCAATGACAGTCTGAAAGTGATGAACCATAAACTGTTTATAATTTGTCAAACCATACCTTAATAATGAGTCTAATAGATTCTGCTCTCGTCTCCATGGCAACCATCAATATCCATAGCAACAGTGCCCCCTATTACCTAGATACATGCTAAATGTTACGAAAATGGTAAAGTAGCAGCAAGATGTTCCTCTAGCTGAGTAAAACATAATATTATGATGACAGCAAGAAAAAATCTGCTGAGGTCAAGTTACTCACCTTGTCGCTGAACACAACCCTGTCACCTCCAGCTCTATAATGTACATGTAACAGAGAAAAACTGAGCCTCTACAAGTAGTTTGAGAAACAAACATACCTCATCACGTATCTGCCCATGGAATAATCTGATCCAAACTTGAACAACTAATGGAAAACGTCCTACTATAGAAACCAAGAGACCTGTTTAACTATTTCAAAATTGAGACAAGTGTGAAGTCATTGAAGATAAGGAAAAGATAAAGATATAGTAATTAGTTAACAGATGGGCAACAAGAATCCAGCATGACAAAACCTTCATATAAACTAGATTAGCCAAGTATGATAAAAAAAACAAAACGCTGGCCTGTCATTGTTTAACAGTGGTGTCAACTCAAGTGTAATATTGCAATACTGCATGCAGACGTTTAACAAAATATTGTCAAAGTTCTGGAATTCATACAGAAAGAACAGACGATCCTAGGAGAAACTGAATGTGCAATACTGCAACATGCAATATAGAGATTCACTACTCCATTACCAGTGCATACTTAACAAGCTGACCAACTCATTTCTAGATCCCCTGTAAAATCTCTTGTATACTATGCAGATTTTAGAAAATATTTCCTGGACAGAATACAGAATATGAGGTGAGATATGATTCATTGTTTTACTTAGGAAGATGATATAACATCTGTATCATGTTTAAAATAATCAACAACAATATTCCATTTATGTGATCTGCCATGATTAATAATTATATTTTAATTATAACAAAACTGTGCTCTTCCAAAAGACACAGTACTATTCCCCAATATACGCATTGTAACTTTTATTCATTTATACATTATAATTTTTATTCATTTACACATAGAAAAACTTAAGGTTTTGATTGTTTTCTCCATGTTCTGTATTAATATTTGATATAAATCTATATAATATTATGTAATACATAATTACATAAAACAGAATCAACATCTCACCTCTAGATTACAGTGTATAGAGGTTAGTTGTTAGGTTTTATTTTTTCTACTGCCTGTCCTTACATAATTATACTGTTCCCATAAATTCAAACAACTCAGTATATTCATGCATCTAGTCAGTATATTTTTGGGACTTAAAACAATTCCAAAATAGTCAATATCATTTTTTGGACTCAAAAAACAAAACAATTCATTTAAAACTGTTCATTTATTTTTGTTTTGTAAACCTGAGTAACTATTACAGGTTTCAAGTTTCTTAATTGCAACAAAAATTCAACTGTGGGGTCCTTAACTGTCACTTACTTGGTGTTATATGCTTTCCATCTGTATAAATTCATGAAAGGGGCCATCTTGTTGTTATAATTCAGAAAGTCATATATATGAAGATAAATGTATTAAAAAAAAAAAAATCTTAAATTTACATTAAAACAGACAGGGCCTACTGGATTTCCCACAACTTAAATTTAAGACATCATTAATTTGACAATGCACTATGTTAAATTGTTATGTTATGTTAAAGAAATTGCTGAGGTTACTTCATCCTGTATTGTATGTTCAGAGAAAAATATAATATCATTATTACATCTACTTTATTTAGTATAAATTACAACCATTTTGAACCAATGCTGTAACATTTCTGGTCAGGACATGATAATATATGTTGATAAACTATAGAGTCTTAATATGCCATATCAAACCTAATTTGCCCATTTTATATATAGAAAAAAAACAAATAATAACAATAATAACAACAGATTAAAGTATCTCAAAATGGTGTATTTTGAGATTTAAAATTTTCATAATTTTGAATCACTATATAATTATACTTGTGTAGATTTGTTGGGAATGTTTTTGCTAAAAAAAACTAACAATTGAGCACTTTTTAAGATATATTTAACATAATATTATATGGAGGCCAATATAAAATGTCATTATTAAGTATATTGGTATCAAAATGAAATAATAATTTCAAATTTCAATTTTCTGTTATTTAGTAATTGGCTACCAAGTTCAAAATTCATGAGCAAGTCGGTTTTGATATTGATTTCTTATCAAGATTATGGTACATGTAACATAATATATAATTATTATTATGTAATCATGCAGCAATCCCTCCATGCATGGCCCTTAAATTACCTGGGCCACACCTGTAACTTCAATATCAACTCCCAATTTAGTGTAACATCCTCTATTTGTAGTTATGCTCAAAGTCATTATATTAAGGGAAAGCCTGCAAATAAGAGTAGACATATTTTTGGAATATCAGTAAACTTCTTGAATATTACATTGTATGTATGCAAATTTTCAAAATCTGTGAAAAGGCATTGTTACTGTAGGCAAAGGAGAGATGTAAACATTGAGGCCTATTATCCATTCATCCTTTAAATCACCAAATACAGAAAAAACATTTCTCAGTAAGCAAAATCAATACAACTGGACACAGAATATACCTAAAACTGATAAAACCCAATATGTATGTATATTTTGTCCCAATTTTTGTCCCAATATGTATTTATATTTTGTTATCCCCATTTTAAACCAATTAACTCTCAACCTGTTCAAACCAAAAGTAATTTGCCTTTATTGTCAGCAGAACAGTAGTGAGTACAGTTTGACGAGGCTTTACTGCTGGTAGCTTTACTCAGTAATTTTTGTATTTTGATACTGAATTAATGGACTATTCAAAATACAAAGCAGGGCAAATCCAATAAACACACTTAGTAGGTTAAGATTCTGAAAATTGCTTTGGCTCTGAGTGTTATTGGGGAAAATTTGTAGCATTTAGACATATAGTAGCTTCAGTTTACATGACCAGGTCATGACCAATGGAGATGCTTGGCAGTCTCCCTATATATTCTAATCTGGAATTTACTGATAGTGATCTAAGAATTATTATAGGATTTGAGGTTACAGTATGATTGTATAGACAGGCAGTGGCTGCTTATATTTCATTAGTTCAGTTATCTTTATCTTATGCATGCTCATTATTAGTTATCCTTTATTTTATGTGTGCTTATAATATAACTTAGGTAATTCTTCATTTTGTAGTTTAATTAATATGAATTTTAAATATCATATAATGAAATGTACCATACATGTATTTCTAGTTAACAATTTGTCTCATTTCAATGGGGAAAAAAATAGAACAAAAACAAATTAGCCTGTCCAGAAAGCTAATGCCTTTAGAAAGATCTTGGTTATTGCCAGGGTATCCTTAGCTCTTTGTGAATAGAGAGATTCTAGAATGTTAACAAAGGAGTGAGAAAGTATGAACACCATTATGTGAAATATGAAAATTGAACTAATATAATAATAAAATGTAGGGCTGTGAATTGAGACACCTAAGTGTAATCATATTTGCTGACTATTGAGTGAAAATAAATTGAAACAAGAATTACGAATTTGAATTATGAAAATTTATTTTGTATTAATTTAATAAAGGTATGGCTGCAAAGTAAATGAAACCTCCTTAGTAACGGTTAACTTGAAATTTAGATGGTCACTGCTTTGTCAAATATACTATTAGTTTTTGCCACTAGGCAGGTGGTCAGACCGCACAGCTGGGCAGAGCAGTGTGTCCAGGTTCTTATACAGTTGACTATTCAACTTTTGTTTTTTTGTTGTTGTTGAAATCCCTCTAAATGCTCCAATTATGTTAACTTTTTTAACAATTGATTAAATAAAACCATAGCCCAAGATTTAGCAAATAATAATATTATAATTTGATGGTTCCAAGCTTAAAGCTATTTAGTTATTTATAATTCACAGCCCTAGAATAAGCTATAAAGGTTAACTCTGCTGGTTTTCACAACTCTATGTTGTATCCCTACCTGAGCAATACCTGTGACTGAGACAGCAACACCCTTCTGGGTGTATACCTCGGAACTTGTAATGTTCAAGGTCATAGTATTTAAAGAGAGTCTGAAAATCAACAATATTCTTCACATTTACATTACATGAAAACCATTTTTGAACTGCCATTATTATTTGCGATGACACAGCAAGACTAAAAGATAATAGTGGAAGGATCATGTGTGGAGAAATAATGCATAACATAGGCACTAATTTCAATGCAATGAAGAGAACTGCACTGCCAATCGAATAATAACAAGGTCAGAATGCAGACGCTGAAAAGTAACAAAAATTTATCAACAACATAGTTCACTGATGTATATACTATAAATATAATACAGACCTACAGGGCTTGACACAACCATCCTAAACCAAATCAGATTAAAATCTTTCAAAATGTGGTTGTTCTAATCTATTATGAAATTCTTCAAATAAAATTCAACACAGTCTCTATAAAGACAAAAGCTGCTACATCAGCATGCTTGACTATTCACAGTGCTTGATAGTAAAACAAGAGTCTGGAGAAAGTTCAAAAAGGGCATTAATTCTGTCAAAATCCATGTTAGAGTTATCGCCTTTGGAATATAAGTGACCTCCTTTTATGCTCTCAAATGAGTGTGTGAAGTTTAAACTGCTTGCCTTTAGTAGTTTTGGAGAATGATACCAACTTGCATGCAAAAACTTAAACAGAGAGTGACATTACAATGCCAATGCTGGCACCAATGAAATAACTTTAGACCATGTGGCAGAATAGTGACCTCCCAATAAGCCCCAAACATTAAATGTTTGCTGGATGACTGATTAAATTAATAAATGCCCTTCAGTGCTTTTGTTGTTACTATTTCTTAATTCAAATTCTTTTTTTATAACAAGTACATCTACTGTGATCTATGAATCCAAGCCCTAAAAGTATGTAAATTTTCAAAATAACAACCTAAAACTACCCATGCTTTTCATTAAAAAAAAATTAAAATATAGAAAACCAAAATCTTGAAATATAAGCAGTCTATGTGACACCACACAGCCAATTGTGCATACATGTATATATAACACTGAGATACAACAATACAGGGGACATACAATACAGGTAACACTGTATTCTGATGACAGCCACATTGTATATATGTTAATTCCTGTGACTGAATAAATCTTTAACAATGTCTTCAAATATATTGAAAAACAAAAATTACATATAAATTTAACTGCCTTTCTTTGCTAGTATAAAATATTCAAGGTCAAAGTGTAACATAATATGAAAATCAACTGAAGCAGGTGGATTTGGTAAAACCGGACCCAATAACGTACACAGGCTAATTTCCTTGGACTACTAAAAATTCAAGTTTTCCCATAAAAGCTGTACTATATGGCTGTGGTAATGACTTAAATAATTCCATAACAATCTGGTTCCAAAAAAGTTGTGATAAAACTGATTTACTTGTTATTTATTCAGTCACAAGAAACAACAAATAACCATGAGGAATTTAAACTTACTTGGGCAATACCAGTAACACAGACTGCTACCCCTTGTTTAGTATACACCATTGGACTTTCGATCATTAGAGTCATGGTGTTTAAATTCATTCTTTGTTGCAGCAAAGAAAAGCAACAGAAACAACATGTTAGTCTTAAAATAATTACTGTAAATGCCAGCAGTAAGGGCCAGAAATACAAACTTTGTTCTCTGGTTGGGTTATACATTGCACAAACACAGACAGTATAGGTCATTTGTTGAATTTCTAGCTTTACTGGTGGAGAAAGACCTCAAGTGTCTTTTTGTGCATAATTTCAGGCACCAGCAGGCACCTGAGTAGAACCATAGATATTTCGTAACAGCTTAAGCCAGCTGGATAGCTTCCTCAAATGAAAGAATTCAAAGCCTCTGTCAGTTATCAAACCTACAGCAGTAAGAGGCAAGTTATTTGAAGTCAACAACAGTATCCACTCAGCCATGTAAGCCCCTCTATAAAAACTAACCAGCCTCTATAATGCTGGCTGCTTGTATTCTAAGATTTAAGTGAGAACATATTTACTTCTATCTAGATTATAATGTTAAATTGATGTTAATATAATTTATAAAACAACTCGCATGTCTGCATCCTGAAACTATAAAGTACTGGTACCATTGGTAAATTCTGTTGCCATCAGCAAACTGGCAATTTATATTTATTTTAAGTAACATTTATAAAGCATAATTATATTTATAATGGATTTTCTTCAGGTGTACCAATCATTACATAGATAAACTTATATGTATGCAAGGTTTAGATCCTATAAAACAACGTAAAAATAAAGTTGTCCAATATAAAATTTCAGGGGGAAATTGTGTTGCAGAGAGAAAATTCAAAACAGGGGGAAAAAAAGAGTTTATGTTAAATTTTGTATATACAACATCAATTTTGTTTAAAAATACAATGAAATTGAAATGAACCACTTGAAAAGAATGGATCTTTAACAATTTGGCTCAAAAAATCACTGCAGATCTACCTGTCAACAGTATTTTTCCTAACCATATAGAGTAATAAAATATCTGTATTAATTACATATATCAGAATGGATGCTGACATAAGTAATAAATATATGATACAAATTATGGCAGTTTGCCAAAAGTTTATGTACAAAAATAAATATATAATATACAGTCCATCTCATGACAGTAGAAAAATCATTGAAGTATATACATAAAGTTACTGGCTACTCAGATTGGCTTGAAATTTAATATATTTATACATACATGTACATAGCTCTCAAAATTTTATAATTCAATAATAATAGCTCCAGTTTGAATCCCACATTTTTTCAGAATTTTACATTTTGAAAAAAAAACTGCAGAAGACTTCATACATTTTTTAAATTTAAACAATAAAAGATAAATAATTAACTTTTTCAAACTTGCGATTATACAAAATTTGTGTTGAATACCATATATTCCCTAATTTAATTCAAGGTCTCGGAGTTGTCAAAATTTCCTAAAGGGTTAAAAGTTAAAGTCCATAATAAAAGCATAAAAAATTGTCTAATATAAAAAAATATATTTAATGTTTTAGAGTAATTTTACTCACGGTTATAAATTGTGGAAGCATTAGCTATGTGTTAATTTGGTCAAACTTTCTAAAATTTATTATAAATCACTGTAAATTTGGTCAGACACTCATTTTACTTTTTATATGTCAGAAAGTGGCTCGGCTTTTAATAAAGAACAAACAGTAATAATCATACAATTTTAAGTTATCAACATCAAAGATGCTATGTAATAAGTCAAGCTTGGTTGTTCAAAATCTTTTTCTAAATTTCATAATAAGCAAACATTAATGAGGATAACTAATTGATTAATCATCATTTAACAACAGCAAACCTTTATTGAAATAATTCCTCTGTTTCCTTTAGCAACAGTCTATGGAATATAAATTCTATATCTATCTTTTAACATATAAAACAGCCAATTAAAATGCTTTAAATTTACATCAGAGAGTTCCAAAAATTCTTACAACAACAAACAACATACCTCTGTAGTTTCTGAATAACTGGCCAGACAAACACTCGGCCTCCAGGGATATACTCTGAATGCCCCCTGCAGCATCCTAAATATAAAACATGTTCTAATTAGTATTCACACTTATTTCACTTGTTTTTGTCATCATGAGCAATCGCTCCCTTAATACAAGGCAATTGTGAACAAAGTATTCAACCATGTATGACTTCAGGAATATAAGTTGATCAGCAATCATCTTTGCGGTCAGGAAAGGTGTGAAATAATTTCAAAGACTGAAGGTGTCAAATTAATTGATGGACTTTGACTTATTGATGGTAAAATGCTCTAGAATTGTTCTTTACCTACCACATAAAAACTTCAACACATAAAAAAAATCAATACAGATATATTAGACTAATATAATGGTTTTAATTAAAGAATATATATAAGGGAAAAAATTGGGACTTTCATATTACTTCAACAAATCTTCAACATTTATTTATATAATTATTTTATTTATTTTGTGACATTAAAATGATAATTATCGATAATGTGCTGAATGTTAAGTATTGTTGAAAAATTCAATATCATGTATGTTCACTACATTGGCTTCGTCCATCATGAAATCATCCCAAGTAATCCTGATGATGATAATACATTAAGTTATAATGACTAGAGGTCAGTATAGGTGCAATTCTGATGCATCGAAAACCAGTTTTGTTGGTGCCAATTTGATTCTGCTGTCAAATACAAAAATTTCAATTCAAGTCACAACAAAAATAAACAAGGAAAAATTGCAAGTTTTAGTCCCTCTCTGGCTTGTCTATTGCTGCACTTCACTTCAATTGAATGGTTAATCAAACAATAAGTGAGCATGTTGTTTTGTCTTTTTGGTAAGCAAATCAGAAAGGCTTCAAATGTCAAAGTAGAAAAAAATCCAAAAAAAAAAATCCTAAAAAGAAAAATTTTGTAAAGGACAAAGCAATGCTTCAGGTTTCGTGAGGGTAAGGAATTAAACACAGCAACATTTATGATATATATATATATATGTTTTGGGAGCATGCCATGTCCAAAGTCGGTAGGTACAACTAACATGATAGGAGTCAGAACAAACAGTAACTTGTAAGGCATTTTTTGTCAATATTGTGAAGGGCCAGGGCTTGTTCAATTTGTGAAAAAAAGCACCAACAATTGTGACATAATTACATAATATTTGCCATTTCATGACATTTTGAAACCGGAAACAGTGTGTGATGATTGCTTGATTACAATTTCTGACCTGTGTAAAATCTGCTTTTAGTTGATACTTTAAAGTTAAACTGTTTAACATGCGCAAATACCATTTAACTAGATAAAAACTTTTTACTTGCTTGCAATACATGGATAAACACTTTCCAAACTAGCAGAAGACAGGCTATTCATATCAATAGTTTTTCATTTGCACATCTCACTGTATAATTTTATAAATTGTATGTTAAAATTGAAATGGTGTGACATATGGTATGTTTGACAGTTAATATAAATACTTTGGTGTCAAAAGATGTGTTGAAGTATATACTACGAAGCCAAGATCCAAAGCTCTCCATTGGTGTTATAAATTTCAAAATCGAATATTTAATCAAAACAAGCTTGTTAGCCTTTTAAAAACGGCTTAATTTGTATTGTTTTAGCATAAGAGATTTTGATTTTACTAGAAGATAAGGGAAACAACTCTTTTTTTCACTCGATATACCTCGGTTATTTACGTAGCTCATATTGAGTGTTTATGGGTGTATTGGTGAAAATAAAGTTTTAAACAAGAGCACCGCTAGGCGGAGCATTATATGCCCGAAAGTACTCTTTCTTTTCGTGAGGAAGACATTGGAATTAAATACAGTATTACCTCCTTCAAAAAGCAATCCTCCTTTATAGCTGAAGAACATTCATGTATATATGCAGTTGCTGTTTTCAAAGCACCACCATCAAGTTGTTATCTTGTTAGTAAAAATGCTAAAACGGATGGACACCAAGACGTCAGGGGTATAAAGCTGTTAATCCTTTAAAATTTTACAGCTGTAGTTCGATTAATACTTGAGTTATTGAGCGAAAACTGTTTCCAGTTTAAAGGTGATAGTAATCCCTTGATCTTTGACCTTGTGACCCCAAAATCAATAGGGGTCTTCTACCCAATATGGACAATCATCCTATGAAGTTTGAAAACTGTGGGTCAAATGGAACTTAAGTTATGCTTCGGAAACCATTTTACATATTTAGCTAATAGTGACCTTGACCTTTAACCTTGTGACCCTAAAATCAATAGGGGTTTTTTACCCAATATGGACAATCATCCTATGAAGTTTGAATACTGTGGGCCGAATGGAACTTAAGTTATGCTCCGGAAACCATTTTCAGTATTTCGCTAATAGTGACCTTGACCTTTGACCTTGTGACCCCAAAATCAATAGGGATCTTCTACCCAATATGGGCAATCATCCTATTAAGTTTGAATACTGTGGGCCAAATGGAACTTAAGTTATGGTCCGGAAACCATTTTCAGTATTAAGCTAATAGTGACCTTGACCTTTGACCTTGTGACCCCAAAATCAATAGGGGTCTTCTACTTAATATGGACAATCATCCTATGAAGTTTGAATACTGTGGGTCAAATGGAACTCAAGTTATGCTCCGGAAACCATTTTCAGTATTAAGCTAATAGTGACCTTGACCTTTGACCTTGTGACCCCAAAATCAATAGGGGTCTTCTATCCAATATGGGCAATCATCCTATGAAGTTTGAATACTGTGGGTCAAATAGAACTTAAGTTATGCTCCGGAAACCATTTTCAGTATTTAGCTAATAGTGACCTTGACCTTTGACCTTGTGACCCCAAAATCAATAGGGGTCTTCTACCCAATATGGGCAATCATCCTATGAAGTTTGAATACTGTGGGCCAAATGGAACTTAAGTTATGCTCCGGAAACCAAATTGCTAACAGACGGACGGACGGACGGACGGACGGAGGCCAGGGGGTATAACATAATATGCCCGAAATTCTTTCGGGCATATAAAAAGAGGGTTGACTTGTGCCTTTCCAAGATGGAAATAGAGCTTTTTTCATTGTTGAATTTCAGCCAAATTTTACAGAAATGTTACATGAAGATTAAAGTGTAAGTTTTATTTATACTTAAAGACCTCTTGAATGCTTAGAGGTTTGAATGAGAACTGGTTTGTCCATGATAAAACTTAAGAAAAGCGAAAAAACTATGTTTAAACTAAAGCCAATATAAAACTTAAGAAATGCGAAAAAACTATCCTAGAGTCATTAGTTTTGACGCCCTTAAGCTGTTTAACTAGTGCATTTTTTAATATTTAATTTGATCATTAAATAAAAAACAATATAAAGTTACTATGACATGTTGTTTATCACTGCAAACCTTTTTTATGTTTGTAAAAAGTTCAAAATCACTGAAGTTTTGTACTTAAGTAAACTGACCCTGGAGGCATCCATTGTTGTTTACAGTCATATGAAATGACGCCTTTTCATTGGGTGGTTATTTTTAAAGGATATTTCACTGTAATGCAATATGTACAGCAAAAGAAGTTTTTAAATGAGCTAACATTTAATGTAACAACATTGTGAAAACTTAAAATTATATTTTATTTCATATAAAACTGTCCATTATTTGGGAATGCCATACACCCTGGCAGTCGTCTTAATAGGTGCACCTGTCTCTTTAAGCTTGAATGTATTTACCAATAATCTTGATGAATAGCATCTGCTTTTGGCTGACAGAGCTGAAAAATATATCTAAAATGAAAGGTGTTGTAAAGATATGTATATGTTGATTTAAGAAATGATTTTTTTTTCTTTCTTTTTTAAACTTTATATACAATAATCAACCCATTATGAATTTTACTCGGTATCAATTAAAAACCAATTAACGTTTTCAAACAATATAAGCTGTACACCTTTTGCAACAGTGAATATTAAGGGCACTTTGCAAAGTTTTGGTCACATGACACTCATTAGACATTTTAAAATGGAGGACAGAAACAGAAAAGGGCAGATCAAGATTTTTCAAAGGCTGTATTTGCAAAATTAAGGCTTGCATAAACATTGATTGATTTGGCATTAGTATGGGCTATCCTTGTAACCATAGATCACTATTTAACAAAACCCTTGTATTGAAATTTTATTGAAATTCTTTTACTTCTTTTATATCATGTTTATCAGTAACTTTAAGTTATGAAATATTCTGTGATAATTATAATTCTGACTATTGTAGTCTTAACCTGAAATGTGATTTTATTAATTTATTCATTTGCTTCTTTTTTAAATACATTTATCCTATGCCTCATCTGATCTCAGTCATTAACTAAATTTGTTTTATTTATTATTAATATGAAATGATATTTTAATTTGGATAAACTGTTATTTTATATATATATTTATTTATATATATATCTTATTATGTAACTGTGATCTATGTTGTTGCTAAAATAAAATAAATAAAAAAAAAAAAGAGTTGAAAAAATACAGTAAATTTGATAAAGGTGAAGTATTTTTAGTTAAATGGCTCTGTCTTTCCAAATGTTTTAGTCATACGTTGTAAATACATGGTTGCAGTGCAGTCAGCAAATTATGACGTCATACGAGGTCGTTTTCACCAATTCTTAGGTCAAAACAAAAATGGCGTCAAAATAGATGAGCGTCAAAACACATGACATGCCGATATGTGTAAACTAAAGCCAATATTTTTTCACAAGCAAATCAACAGAATGTCAGATTAAGAGACTAGTAATCAGACATGAATCGAATCGAAAAAAGCAGAATCGAGGTGTCATTTGGTGAATTGTTACAGCCCTAAAATGACCTAATTCGAACCTGCAACATAATTTGACAGATGCAGATGCTGAAGAAAATTAAAATTTAAGCATGTTAAGAATTCGATAATCGTACCTGTTGAAAAGAGCAATACATTGCATAAAACAAATTGCTTTAATAATTACCTGAAACTACCATCACTTCATTGGGACCACACGTTTCGAAGCCCATTTTCGCTGTTTTCTTTCGAAATAAACAATAATTTTCTTGCGAAATGGCCTCACTTCCGCGTCACGGGCTGCATAGTATACGTAAATTTCATTGGTCAAAATTAAATTATGAATATTGGTATATTCTGGTAAAGCACGTTACACATCCGTAAAATCTGTAAGATAAATCCCGTAATCCGGAATCATAATTAGTTTTGCTACACACCTGCCAGAACCTGCCTACCTGTCTACCTATCTGAGAAAAAGTTAAAATGTTAAATTTATAGATGACGTATATAAAATATTATGTTCATACAACATAAACAATGGGCTGTGTAAAGTGTTGTTTTTATGTAAAAAGCAATATGTCAATCTGTTATGGTGAGATCTATGCCTAATTTGGCTAAAAATCATATTGAAGTGGTTAAATTGTGGACAATGAAACACTACTAGTGGAAAACTGTTCTTTGGACAAATGAGAATTATTTAGATAGTTTTAAATCACTCTAGCATCTGAGTAACACTGGATGTGCGCCAAAAGTCAGATTTGACCTAACGCGCAAATTTTCTTTGGACAGAATTTGAGTTTGACTATATGGGGGCTTAAGCTTCAGCAGGGTCTTTCAGACACTGGCTTCAGATAGATGATTAGCTTGCATATTCTAGTTGTTCTAATTGTGGTCGAACAAAATGTATGTCTTTCATGCCATAGCCTTAAGGGGTTCTGAGTTTACCGCTATATTACCACATATTTTAATTAAATTCAGTAATATTACGTAATTAAGTCAAGGGATTGGTTTGCCTTTTGTTTGATCTATACTTGTGCTCGTCACACGAGAGATTATTTGATATATCCATGCCCAAGCATTTGACCGATAAAAATAGTAATAAACAAACGCTTATAAACATCTCTCCTAAAATCCCAAATTACTGTCAAATTTCCTCAGACTAGACGTACGCAGGTAAACCCTTATTTGGTTAAAAAGATTGCAAATAGCAGAACCTACGTACTTCATAGCTAATCCATCCATTTAAATTCAATTGCTACAAGAAAATTTTGCAGATCTACAGTCATAATTATTTATTATAATGGTCAATGATTCAGGAATAATAATGATAATAAAATTTAAAATAAATAAATAAAAACAGAACCCCATCGATCCAATAAAATATCTATTTCGCCCGTACATTATCACGAATAACAGTTTTATCAATTCATTTATACAGTCGAAAAGTCATCAAATTGTTTAAGGATACATTCAGATTAATTGTTTATAATGAATGGCTGTGAACTGCAGAGAGTTGAAGCACAAGAACCAGCTGCCTGTCACGGTCTAAAGTTGTTACTTTTAAAACGATACCATTAAAAGCAGATAGTGGGCAAAGCAGAAAAAATGTAAATAAAAAAACGAGAAAAAAGAAACTATGCAATAAAGAACTCCCCAAACGGCAAACTTGAAACTGTTATAGGCTTGGTGTGATTGTGTTCGCGGATGGTAGTGGAAAGCCTCCGTAAAATTCTTTATCCAGTCATATGAATATGGAGGAATGTCGCTCGAAGCGAGTGTCTTGACCAATTTGTTCCTCATTACCACACAAACTAAGAGAACCACCTATACTGACCAGCAATACTTGTACCGTATCAGACGCAGTTTATATCAATAGAAGAAAAGAAACACAACAAGGAAAAGAAAGTCTTTGAAAAACAAATCAAATGCCAATGCAAATTCCTGTCTCTTTAAGCAAAAGTGTTAACATTTCAGAGAAATCTTTCATTAAATGAATCTGAAAATGGGAATGGCACATATAGCTAATATTTTATCAAGGCACCGTAAACGAATAAATCGACTGACATATATTAACAGAAATTGGAAATGCATTTTGGAAAATTAAAACCAATAAAGGTAGTGCAGTAGATGTAAAACCCACACTTAAAATCATCATTTCCGACATTAAAACAACGTAAAACAAACAATTTTAATTTAGTTTTCAATACAAGAGTTATACATGAATCGTGGACCATAGGAACCACCAGCCGAATTTACAAAATAAGGAAGATCCTTATAAACACAAACAATTATAGGCCAATAAACATTTTAAGCTGCGAAGGAAATGCTTCATTTTCATAATACAAACATCTTCAAATTTGAACCAGACAATTGTCAAAGTGGACATGATATTTGCAGACATAAACTGTACATGTATAGGATATCGACCAACTCAAGCTCTTTCTGTTTCGGAAAGACCCGGTGGCACCGAGATTCCCGTCTTGTTTGCAAACACCACGTGCATACATACAGTCATGTGACAAAGACGTATCTTCGATCTAATAAAAACTTGGCGATATTTCGCCGACCGGAAATTTCTGCCGGAAATTTCTGAAAATCTCCAAAGATAACGTAACAGTGTTGATCAGCAGAGCATAAAAAATGACCGCCCCACTTATTCAAGCTATCAACAGGATAACGGGGTACGACAGCCTACTGTCAACTGCTCAATGCTTATTGTAAACTCCTTGCAGGATACTGCTTAATACTGAATTATTGTTAACTACTAAATGCCAAAATACAAACTGTCAACTGCTTAAAGATCCTGTAACTCATTTTTTTATGTTTTTATATTATAAGTATGATTCTCAAATGAAGATTTATCAGTTTTGTAAGTTCCAAAAAGTATTATTTGTAATTATATTACCGAATTAACATTTCATGTAAATAAAGGGAGGTAATTAGAAATTTATTTTCTATAAAAACTAAATAATTTTTTCAATAAGAAATGTATGCATTTATTTCAATGATTACATATTAAACGTTTATAAACATTTGCAGTACATATTTAACATATTCGTGGATGTTTATAAACTGTTTAAAGATCCTGTAGCACACGTTTTTTATGGTTTAATATCATAAATATGATGCTCAAATTAAGATTTATCCATTTGTAAGTTCCAAAAAGCATTATTTATATTTAATTTGATGTTAACAATAATGTATTTATTATTTTGTATAATGTCATTTATTTCCTTCCCTAAGCTGTATAATTTCCTTCAATATTATGTCATGCATTTGTGTTCTGGTGACTAAACATAAACAAAATAACAAGAAAATTATGATATCTTATTTTTAAAGAACTTTTTATTTACAATTAAAACGAAACAAATTATGGTTTGTCCGAATAATGAGACCTCTAAGCTAATGTTTTCTTCCATCAACAATTATATAAAATAATAATTATGAGACGCCTGTAAATAATTCGTATCTATAAAAATATTTGTAATGTTTCGGGGACAGCAATAAATGTATTAGATCTATATGGAAAAAAAACTGATAAAACATTAGCTGTATTTTGTTTTCATTTTTGAACATTTTACTGATTCCCACTATAATTAATGCAGTACTTTGCCTGAAGATCGACCATTTAGTCGATGTTATTTTATAGCAACATTGTAAAACAGAAAATAACTTAATGTAGCGCGAAATTTTAAAGGAGCCCACTTACATGCCAATGTCTACAAAGAACAATACTCTTTTAATATCATATATAAGAATAAACACAAAACATATACAGTGTAGTATATAAAACATATGAACAAGTCTCCTCACGAGACCAACTTGATAAAAGCAGAATAATGATTAAATGATAAGCCTGTTGGAAAAACATTATTGTAAATGAATTTGATATGCAAAAATTATTTCACTGTGGAAAACATTACATAGATAAAATAGCAAAAAGCACTTCAAACGTTTTTTGGAATAACACTTTTAATGCTTTATCTATACATATATAGATAAGTATCCTATAAATAACGAATCTTTCGACTACCATTGTTTTATAACATTAAATTGCTTATTGGCGATAAAATATTTCCTAATTCATAGTTTAAAGCCGGTGTATATTATATCGGAGATATGTTTGATTCTTACTGTGCTTTTCTTTCATTAGAAGATTTTAATAACATATTCGGGCTTAAAATAGGATAAACAAGATCAATAAGGAAAGGCGGCAAATAACGCAATCTTTTTAATCCTTCAGGGAATTAAAAAAATGATAAATGAAATTATGACAAAATTCAATTTTAGTATGAATGATGTTAAAAAAACTTGTGGACCTAAAATGCCTCCTTAATTAATTATTTAAAAAACATAATTATAAATACTGAGGGATCAAAACAATTTATTAAATACTAATAACATACAACAAACAAGTAAAGTAACCTGGACACAAAAGCTTGATCTACTTTTTGAAGAAAGGAAGTGGAAAAAAATATACGAAATGCCATTTAAAATAACTAAAGATACTAGGATACAATGGTTTCAAATAAGGATTCTTCATAGAATAATTGGCACCAATTATTATTAACATAAAATTAAATATAATGATAATCCTCTTTGTACCTTTTGTAAAAATGAAAACGAAACTATTGAACATTTGTTTTGGCAATGTAGTTTTGATAAGGACATCGTTTATATCTATTTAAAAAAAACACACAAAAAAAAACAAACAAACAAAAAAAAAAACATTTTTCCATCATTAACTGCAGAAAAAATGATTTTTGGATTTACACATGTAAGTCCTTTATCAAAAACTGAAAATCTAATTTTTTTTTACTTTAAGATGTATATTTATCAATGTAAAATGCAAAAGACTATTCCCACAGTTCTAGGAGCTAAAATTATATAACATATTGTTACAACATTGAAAAAGAGACTGCAATTTTACGTTGAAACCTTTATCTCAGCATGGAAATTTTATCTAATTTTCCTAATGCAGATTAACACTTTTTGTGTTTTTACTGTTATTATTATCATTAGTATTGTCGTTGTTGATGTTATTTCTTTCTATATATACATACTCAAATTTTAACTCCATATTTACTTATGCCAAATCTTCACGTCAAACTACCCCGCTTAAAATGAGAGATAAGTAAATACCTGAAAAGATGATTAAATATGGCCGAAAAAAAGTGCACACTAGAGTGAGAGAGTGCAGATGAATGAGTGTAGTATATAAAATGTTTAATTTTTGTCATTATGGATATGTTCTATTCTATAGCTGTATGATACTATATTTGTTAAAAAGTTGTAACTTTATATATCCATACTGTACATACAATGTTTATATATTTGATCAATAACAAATATATATATATATATAAAAAGAATTATGATTAAAGTTCTGTTATGAATAAAATTATTGTTATGATATCATATTAATGTAAATATATTCTGGAATATAAAGTGATATACACGAAACAAGCAAAGAAAACTATGAAAATCCCTCATATCATTGAAGTTTTAAGCTATCACGATGTCTAAATAAAAATCTGTCGATTACAGGCATGTTTACTTCAGTCAGTTGTTAAACCTCTAAAGACCTGACAAATAATAGTAATAATATAACCTCATTGGATGGTTCTGACAAAGTCGAAAGAAGATTAAAATTGGGAAAAATAACCATGAAAAAATGAACATGATCATCTTGTCTATAAAAAAAGTTCACTTTTCAGTAAATTTAAGTAATCAAAAAATCTAAAATTTATCAGGTGCGAACTTTGTCAGGAGTAAAATTGAATTAAAACAAGAGGAAAACGATGGCACTTCATAAATGTAAAATAAGCTGACTTCATTTGTGTACTCTTTATGTCTATGAAATATTGAGCTGTTCATAAAACGATTGGAATACAGCCAGGGTTGTCTTTGTTTATGCTTTCAGAAGCAGAGTTAAACTCCTCTTTAAGAACCAATAAATTTATCTTTCGGTGTTAAAACCTTTAATAATTTGAACTAAATTAAGCACTTCAGTACCAGGGGTCGAACGTATAGCGGTGCGATACTTCTTTAAGCAAGGTGAAATCATGCGATGCGGAATAATGGTATGAGCAAGTTTTTTTTTCAAATATTTGTTGTATATCGTAATTTCTTGAAGAATAGTATTGTGCATGCTGATCAGAACTTATAAGTGTGCATGATCGTCAAAATTAAATACTGAATTTTAAAGTATTGAGGAAGTTATTGAGGTATTTGTTGCTGCAAATTCAACCGTCAACCTGATATGCACATGCTAACGAATACAGTCTCAGTAGTTTTAAACGAGATATTCTATTATTTTAAGCCCCAAGATGTTTATTTTTGATAAAAAAATACTTTCAATCTTAATACTAAACAAGTATTCCAAGTTTGAAGGTAATACCTTTTATACTTGTAAGAAATCACCTTTAAAAAATTGCTTAACGACTGCATAAAAATAAGCCAAAAAAGGTGCAAAGCAAAATGTTATTTTTGAATAATCTACACTTGTGTTATGGCTTCATATTTTAATAATAAGAAAGAATACTAAATTTGCAGGGAATAGGTATTCAATTTCCGAGAAAATTGATCTTATTAAAAATATGTAAACTACCATCAAAGCCGACCCAAGTTCAGGGTCATCCCGATTATAGATTTCTTCAAAAAGTGGAGATTCTAAGCAGGACGACAAAGTTATGAATATCGTAGGATTCAGGTGATAATATAAATTAATTATTAACATTTATAGTCTAGATGAAATAAAACAAAAAAACATATCAATATTAATATCATCTCATAAGTGTATGTTTGCATTTCTTTTCTTTTAAGTTTCAACATTAACAACGGGTGTTTGGTTTGGACTTAAGTGGCACAATGGCGAGGACACATTCTACTGGGAAACATCCGGCACTCTATACAACTACAGAAACTGGCTAGGGGGTTGGGGTACCGGATTTTCAAATGTTTACTGCTACAAGTTTGACCAAAGTAACGGGTTATGGAGTCAACTTGACTGCTCTACGAGTTCTACCTACATTTGTGAAAAGGGTCTGTTTACAACACGTTACTGGTTTTGCATTTCAAAGAATACTCCAAGTGTTTTTTACTTAATTTTCCAACAGCGGACACACAGCACTTTGAAATGTTTACATTTCTTTATTGAAGATGAGTAATTGAATAATTTCTTGTGAAATTGTTCAAGACAAAATGTAATGCGAAATCACAAAAAGCCAAAAATCTTACAATTAAAATGTTATATAAATCAACTGAGGTACTTAAAACGGGAAAGATAATATAGAAATAAACTTAAAACTAAAATGAAATTTAATATTATTGAAAGTGGTTTCAATGCTTTTCATTTTAGTCCGCTTCGCATGATAAAAATTTGGCACATAACATATTGATATAGACCCATATCAAATGGTACAAAAATCTTAAACAAAAATTGGAAAATAAATGAAAGGAGATCAACTATTTCTTTTTCTTTCATATTTTAGAAGCGACAGACGACCCATGTTTCCCCAATCCTTGCCAAAATGAAGGTACATGCATTGTTAATGGAGCTGATTATACGTGTAATTGCCAATCTGGTTTCGAAGGGAAAAGTTGTGAGAGTAACTTATAATCTGTTGAATATATTATAACATGCATGTAATAATCTTGTTTCAGGTATAGTGTGATTAAATTGACCTGTCAATTATGAAAACAATATAGCACTCATTTAAATATCTGATTCCACAGGAGAATGTATATTGAATATGTAATTTATGTTTTAGAAAGTCACATTTGCTCTAGTTATACAGCCATACAGTTAAGTGATTGCCTAAAATGAGAGAGGTCTGAGGTTCAAGTACTACTGTTGTTGTTGCTTTTAATTTTGCAGTACATTTAATCAACTTAAACAGGTTTATATAATCAAACAATACTTTATGTTTATTAAAGGGGTAATGGATACTTTCATTAGTGTAACAATTACTATTATATTATTCTTATAACTATTCATCAATAAGAAAATAAAACTTATTCAAAAATGCAAATGTACATATAAATTGCGCGTGTATGACGTTTATGCTAATGTTTATAGCATTAATTGTCTGTTTATACAATAGGGAAAAAAACTTAAAAAAAATGCAAATGTAAATTGCACGTGTATGACGTTTATGCTAATGTTTATAGCATTAATTGTCTGTTTATACAATAGGAAAAAAAACCTTTTAAAAAAATGCAAATGTAAATTGCACGTGTATGGCGTTTATGCTAATGTTTATAGCATTAATTGTCTGTTTTTGAACAGTTTGTAGCCAGACGAGATAAATTTAAGTGAATATTGCCGCAAAGTTCCAATCCCTTATATGATCGAATTTTTAAATTAAAAAAGTAGCACATCTTTTCAAAACTAGATTTCATTTTAAATGTCATACAGTTTACGAAAAACCATTTATTATTTTTGTAGTAATAAATAACATTATGTTCTTTTTTTTTACTTAAGCATCAGGCTATTGTCAGCCAGGTTGGTCTCACTATGGAAGAAAATGCTACAAATTCAGTTCAAATACTAAAACTTGGGACGCGGCTAAGGTATGACTATACTTGCTATATTCTGTTACATTCATCTTTGGTTATCTGTATGTAATTTACAGACTTCTTATCACGTTTCAGGATTCTATGTAATCATTTGCCTTTTGTTATTAACATTCACTGTGTTAAACATGATTAATAGCTTTATCTTTATTCAAATGGTGCTTTATTAAAAATATTTAAACAGAACATATAATTTTTATCACACATTTGACCACATTCCATGCATATCCACCTATTCATTGATGGTTTGCAGCTTGCATGTGTAGCAGACGAGAGTGCTTATCTAGCAGAAATAATCAATGCCGAGGAGAATTCATTTCTGCAGACGACCGGTAGCGCAAGTATGTGCCCGTCTAAAATTTATTTAAACCTAAAATATTTTATAATGTTTGTAACGGTATTTCTTTGTCAGTGGTTTAAAGTGAAATCTAACTATTGTATATAAAATCCTGATTCTTATTTCAAAGCAATTTTTAATATTTTGAATGGAGAACGAAAAGCTATAAATATATTATCTCAACGGTAATTAGAAATGTTTCATCGTACGTATAGACATTTGATTTCACGCTAGCTCAAACAAAATAGAATTAAAGTGTCGGGAATGGAACCCAATCAAAAAGATACAGGAGGAAGTCAAGGACTATATTAAGCGATTATGTATATATAACCCAAGACAATAATGATATTAATATTAATTTCTTATATCAGCAAGCGTTTAATTTTTATAAACAGTTTAAATGCCACAAAGATAATCACATTTGTATGAGACACGTCTTTACAAATATCATTTACAAACTTACATTATATATAATCTAACGGCACATTTGTATGAGAAACGTCCTAACATATATCATTTACAAACTTACATTATATATCATCTAACAGCACATTTGTATGAGAAACATCCTAACATATATCATTAACAAACTTACATTATATATCGTCTCACAGCACATTTGTATGAGAAACGTCCTAACATATATCATTTACAAACTTACATTATATATCGTCTCACAGCACATTTGTATGAGAAACGTCCTAACATATATCATTTACAAACTTACATTATATATCATCTAACAGCACATTTGTATGAGAAACATTCTAACATATATCATTAACAAACTTACATTATATATCGTCTCACAGCACATTTGTATGAGAAACATTCTAACATATATCATTTACAAACTTACATTATATATCATCTAAAAGCAGTATGTTCACTTTCTTGCATTTCTTTCCTTTTAAGTTTCAACATTAACAACGGGTGTTTGGTTTGGACTGAAGTGGCACAATGGCGAGGACACATTCTACTGGGTAACATCCGGCACTCTATACAACTACAGAAACTGGCTAGGGTGTTGGGGTACCGGATTTTCAAATGTTTACTGCTACACGTTTGACCAAAGTAACGGGTTATGGAGTCAACTTGACTGCTCTACGAGTTCTAACTACATTTGTGAGAAAGGTCTGTACAACACAATATAATTGCTGATAAATATATTAATTATCATGGGAACTGGTACACACAATATGATTGAAGATATATATATATTAATTATCATGGAAACTGATGGATGAGACTTTAAAAAATACAAAATAATCAAGATTGAACAATTGATAACAGTGACCGGTCACAAGTCCTTTTCGAGGTTATCGCATACAACTGATGGTCAATTGCAATGTAAACCTTAGCTACAACTGTTATACATATAATTCATCATATACTTGTTACAATGACATGATTTTCGATCGATACGGAATTATGACCATCTCAAGCATTCATTTGCATTGTTGTTAGAATCATCTCTTTTCATGTTGCAAATATAATAAAGTAGATCATAGACTGCGATGAAAATTCAGACGACACTATTTTTGGAAATGAATGAAAACTGAAAGTATGAATGAGTGTAGTTGTATCACGTAATTACAGAACTTCCAATGTATCTTGTTAAATGTTTTCGATCACGAAATGAGAAAAAAAAAAGAAATGTGCAAGATAATCTTATTCATTTTATGTAAACATAATAAAGTGGCGTATCTTTTTCTTTTATAAGCCGCCACGGATGATCCCTGCACAAAAAGCCCTTGCAAGAACGGAGGCACGTGTACAAGTCAATCTGGCAGTTATACATGTACCTGTACAAGCAAATTTGCAGGAACTAATTGTGAGCGTAAGTATTATTATAAGGAATATAGCATTTTATTATCTGATTGACGGACATTGAAGAAATGTTCGGTTACAAATAATACACCGTGTCTTGAATGGTTTTTGGGTGTAAATTATAAATCAATTTCGAAAATTGATTTGCTACACAATACATAGTCAGACAGATAGAAGAAGACAGAAAGGATGCGGTGCACCTTTGAGTGACTTCTTTGAACTAAAGCTGCCTTTTATTTTACATATCACATATGTATATTCATATCGATATTCTCATGTTATGGATAATCTTTCATTCTGTTTAACTTTGCCTGGTGTGGGCATTTTTATACTTTGTGGTTGCTAAAAATTTTCTCCCGCTGTTATAGCGGAAAACGTCACAAATGTTAGATACATTTAATATGAATTGATATTTTCAAGAATTTCATCATGCGGGAAAACAGCAACGGATCGTCATTTAGTGTCATGGAATCGTGTAATTATCTTCAAAAATTGCAAACATTAAAAAATACAATGCTAGTTTTTAATAATCATGTACAAATCTCTGATACATTTATGAAAAACTGATACAAAAAGGGCAAATAATTATTAAACATCAATCTTTTAAGATTCTCCTCGTTGTAGAATCATGTCCTAGTGGTTGGAACTTGTCAAGTGGTCGTTGTTATGTATTCAAAAATGGGGAGACAGTGAACTGGTCTACTGCAAAGGTAACAAATAAATCATAATTATAATACTGCACGTTTGTAACGTCGCTTTTCATTGGATAATTGTGACGTTTATATGGTTTTATATACACGGCTGTTGTCGATTCATGAAGAAATCTTACTTTTTTCTCTAAAAAAATGATGTTTGCTGTATTATAAATTCGTTATAAAGATTGTTGACAGGTTATAAGTCCGTATATAAACGGCTGTTTGCAATATATTTTTACAAATAGCCGTATATATAGGGCCATATAACCTGTCAACAATCTTTATAACTAATAATATAGCAATGTTTATTACTTATGAACTACGATATCACACAGATGTATTAGCTACTGTCTAGATTCTCAAATGATTAATAGCGTCTATACCATATATCAGCTTACGTCCATACTAATATATGTTTATATTAATGGCGATGAACATGTATTTGTTTTTGCCAATACACTAATTGACTTTACTTTGACTTGATTAATGCATTTAGACAGTGCGTTTAAGTACTACCCGGACAGGCTGGTAGAATTCAAATAGATTATTAAAATATCGTTATATGATGAATGGCATCTTAATTTTATATCACGTCAGTACGTTACAATATGTTTAAAATTCCATTTAATATAAATGCCACATTGTCAATACCATTATCTTCTTTCTGCATAATATCTTCAAGCCTAATATGTCACTCAAAAGCTGAAATTTCCCGACAGCTTTCTATGTTTGATGTCAAGTTATAGTTTCCAAAATGTTACTCATTGGCAACTGGCTTGTACCATTTTTTGCTTTTGTTGTTTTAACAATAAGTGCATTTATAATGATTTAGTATTTAGTATGGAAATCAAATAATATTTTCATTTCCATATTGCTACTTATTTATCTTTACATTCGGCGCGTCTATCATCAGGTGATAAGCATCTAACATGCTCTAAAATCATTAGTTAAGTGTTATAAAACTCATGTTTACTCTTACTAAACTTTCTTTTGAGGCATAATGGGCCTTTAAGGCCTGTAACATATTAATGATAATATGAGAGGAGTCATTATCTTGATGCGTCAGAAACATTGAAACTTTAGAGAAGTCAAATGTTTGATTTCATAGACAATGATTTTACATGCCATTCTATTGACATGGCTAACATTAAAAGTCCTTGAATTCTAAGGAAAGGTAGGAAATATAAAATATGTTTAACTGAATAAAAATGATTTAAAAGTTGATGATATAGGGCTCATAATGAACATTAATTCATCGCGATGATTTTATGTAAAGTTAGATCAACCACACAAGATATCTTCACGGGGAGGACCTGCGCAACCCAAATGCTTAAAGTCTTGGCAAGAGTTAGAAAAGAATAAACATCAACAAAGTATGCTTTGTGGGTACAATATACTATTTTATTATATACTTATGAAGGAAGATTTAAAATTTGTGAACATACGTATTTTCATTTTCTGTATTTTCACTGAAAATTTTTTTTTTTTACTGAAGTGAAACACATTTTCCACATTTTCACTGATGTCTTGCCTGACTGCTTTCTTCTAAATTCAGCCAACACACAAAATTAATGAGGAAATCTTTCAAATTGTTATGTCAAAAAAAGAAACAAAATGTATAAAAAAGAAAATTCATTTTTTTATAAATGCGTGATTTATTTTCTTGTGGTATGAACAAATTTTCATCTTGTGGTATAAAATTTATCATATTTAACTCATGGTTATCGCCACTCGTGAAGCATTTATTTTCATACCACTCGATAGAAAATAAATCCTGTATTTATAGGAAATAAATGAATATCACTCATACATCCACTTTCTATAAATACATGTATATACATTCAGAATATATAGCGGAAAGTGTTAAGGCAAACTTCTAAAGATCATTTAGATCGTTAATAAAAAACCACCTCTATATTATAGCGAAATTTATGTCAAAATTCTCAACAGCATTTTTAATCGTAAATGATAACACTTCTGTTTATAACGACACTTCGATTTATTGCGAAATTTATGGCAAAATTCTATAGGGCATTTAAAAGAACCCCTATATTTATAGCGAAATTTATAGTAAAAATTTAAAAAGCATTTAGATCGTAATGACCAAGAACATACCTTAAAGAAAATGTAAGAATAAAGCAAAAACAACTAAACGTATTATTTGTATAAGTGGCACAATAAAGTAGCCATTAGTTATTACAATCTTTTCACATTGATTTATGCCATTGCTACCCCCACCCCATGTATTTGAACATGGACGTTTCTTATTCATTATTTATTGTGCTTACGATATAATTGATATCTATTGATATTTGATAACAAAAATATTTTGTTTAACTTTTGTTTGATCAGTATTTCAAATTACCCTTCAAAATTTAATGTTACCATGACTTGTGCACATATCATGCTTCAAATAAATAAGGTAGAAATCCAAAGTTTACATATGACAGGAACAATATACATTGTCCGTTGCACATTCTGCTCTTTACTACATCATTGACAGTTAAGAGTATGTTGACATGAACATTAATATCTGTAATGACGTCAAAAAGCAAGCATTTGTTTATAGTTTAACGTAGAGCAAATGCGCCCAAGACGGCGGAACTCTTGCGCAAGCCGACAGCGAAGCTGTTAACAACTATCTTCACGCATTGAAAGGTGAGGCAATAACTCAGAATTATTTTGTTTTAAATAATGACTATATATCTGCAAAGCTCAAGTACGAACGATTTTATTTTAAAAGTTGTTGACAAAGGACTTCTCACACGTAAGTAAATAAGAGTAGCTAAATATATATAGATGATTTATGATATGCTAGTTACTGTGATAAAATATTTAAAGAAATGTTTTATACGAGGTCACATTAGTTGCAACTGCTACAAATGTATAGCAGCAGGTGTATTTCCTTATAAACATATTTAAGGATATGGTATATCAGCTTGGATCGGATTGAATGATCTTGAAACTGAAAATACATTCAAATGGAACGGATCGCAACAACCTATCAGTTATACAAATTGGAACACAAATGAACCAAATAATGGCGCATGAACTGGAGAGGAAGATTGTGTTGAAATGTCAGCCAATTAGAAATGGAATGACTACTACTGTACTAGTCTAAAATTCTATTTCTGTCAACGTTCTCCGACAAGTAAGTATTTTTTTAAAAACATTTACAAACAAATCTTAAAGGCTATAGCTAGTGTAATTTGAATCCATCTTAAATGCTGAGGTAAGGACAAGTTATGAAGCGGTTGTATGTTTAATGTTGCATTAATTGGCACAAAAAAGATAAACTAACACACTCTACCGATGTTAATTAGAGAGAAATTTAGAATCCACATAGAACGAACAAAACGAGTAAATTTAAAATGTTGCAGACTCGTTTTGATTGAACCTGTTCATGGAAAGTAATAACAATTGCAAGTTTCCGTCCACGCCCCCTGAATATGGTAAATTTAATAAATAAATGAATTAAATATCTGCAGATGTGTTCATATGACAGATATCATGGAACCTTCAATGTGAACTTTTGTGTGACCTTTAAACATTGTTGTATGTTATTTTCAGTTGCGCCCTAATGAGATCATATAGACGAGGAAAAGGACAGTGATGCACACTATCAACGCCGGAATAAACATGATATACGATAGATATGTCAACATTGCAACGTTTTAATTATATTAATCAAGCATATACTTGTTGTTTGTTCTTAATTTACCATATAACTGAGTATGTACAGAGTTACCGAAGATGATGTATGCTTTGCATGCTCTAGTTTATGTTCGAGTTTTAGTTTAATTTAATTGCTCTATTGCAAACAAATGAAGAAAGATGAAATAAAATATAGACTGTTGTATTGGAAACGAATGAAATTGAAAAGGATAAAAAATGAGCGAAACATTAATGACCAAAACCTCGGCAATATAATGAACGTGACGCAAAATTTCTCTTGGTTTGATGACAGAAAGCTCAATAAAAAAGATAACTTTCAAGATATATTGACTGAAAGTTAGCCGTCTTAGCTTAATTGTTACTGGTTGACTTACTTTTTCTGTTCAATGAATATACAACAAATGCAACATTCTATTTATCATGTGTGACTAAAGGCTAAATAAAGAAGAAGCTGTTTTTACAGCAAATCAATACAAAATTGAGATATGTGATGTTAGGGGGCAAGTGGCGTGAAGTTGGGGGCCTAGCGGCATGAGGTTGGGGGCCTAGCGGCGTGAAGTTAGCGACCCAGTGGCCTGAAGGTGGCGGCCCGGCGGCCCAAAATGACTAATTAGGTATACGTATGTTAGTGTTTATTAGTTAGCATTTACATAACTAAATTTGTCAAGAACGGTGTAGCCGTTCAAACAATTTATTGCAGTAACTGCTTACTAATAAACACTAACCAGTTTAACAAATTATTTTTGATAAAACTGTCAATTGACAAGGATCCTTAAATTTAGGCGAGGAGAATAAAATGAGTCAAACTTATTGTTGGGGCCTTACAAATGTCTTTAAAAGTACAAAAAGAGCCAGTCTTCAGTTTTTCTAAAAGTTTTACTGCATGCATATCATATTTGTTCTTAATGTTTAACTGCATGTACATGTATATAACAAGTTTAGGTCGCCAACTTCACAAAATCGATAAAATCAAAAACGTTTCTGAAATTGAATTTTACAGTTAATATATCTTTGAAATGACAAGAATATTTTTGCTGAGAAGATATTTTAAATACTTTATTAAGAGCCGTATAAATTGTGTTTACAAAATTTCTACAACTTTAAAAGTTTAGGTAACAACAGATGTAACATATGATGAAGTGGTCTCTGCACAGCACTTACCTCGTCACAACAAACAATAAAAGTCTGGAAAAAGAGGGACCCGTCGGAAGCATTAATCAACAAAATCAAACAATTTCTATAAAGAAATTGCAAACTTGGTTTGACTTGTCTGCACATGAGAGATAATGAAAATGTGCAACATCCCATACGAAGGTGCTTTGGCTAACTTTGAACATATGGGACATCTATAAGGAGGCACAAGAAACCGTGATATACGTATTAACACTATTGTCTTTATGGATGTAAATACATTATAAGCCAACATCTGTGAGGAATCGCTGACACGAGATTGGGATTTACGAACACTGATGAATCCGCCAGCAAAGTCTGGTCGAACTTTTATCATCTAATTTCTGAAAATGCGACAAAGCTATTTACAATGGTATACTTTGTTACAAATACAAATTACAGCTATGAGTATCAAAACTACGTTACACAAAAAAATAGCAATTCTTTTCTGCGGCACCTCACTGTCCTTAAAATAAATTACTAAGTATAGATGATACATATCAATTATATGTTTATTGACGATGTCACACATTAAGAAATATATAATCTGTACCATGACGTAACAATGATCATATAATTATAATAAAATTCCCATCATTTTTATGCTCCCCGAAAAAATTCGGGGGAAGATACATAGTCACCGGGTTGTCTGTCCGTCCGTCCGTCAGTCAGTCAATCCGAGCAAACATTTTGGGTTTAGGGGCTATATAACAGTAAAGAGAACAAAAGAGAACAATAGGTTCATTCCGTGATCAAAGAGTTTATGGGCTAGTAGCCCTTAAGAAAACAAAGAAAATAACAAAGAAAATAGCCCCTTAACCCAAAATGTTGGAACATCCGTATGACCTCAAGTGACGTTACGTACATGTTCATTCTGTATAGATGGTACTAGTGGGAAAAAGGTTGCTTATGGGGTGCAAATACGTTGCTTATGGGGTTTTAGAGATCAAAGGAGATCAGAGACGAATAAAAACCCATAATATCAACTCAGTAGGAACGTCCGTCCGTACGTACGTCACGAATTCGTGTCCGGTCCATAACTTCGTTATTTGAAGTCGGATTTTACAACTATTTCACAGAAATGATCACCATATTAAGACAACGTCTCGCGCGCAATATTAGGGTCGCTGCTTTAAAGGTCATGGTCACGGCATGACCTTGCAGTAAAATCGTGTCGTGCCCATAACTCTGTTCTTTGAAGTCGGATTTTCAATCTATTTCTTATAAATGATCACCATATTGAGATCGCGCACAATATTTGGGTCGCTACATTGAAGGTCAAGGTCACAGCATGACCTTACAGCAAAATCGTGTCCGGCCTTTAACTTCTTTATTTCAAGTCGGATTTTACAACTTTTTCACAGAAATGATCACCATATTGAGACAACGTGTCACGTGCAACATTTTGGTCTCAGACCATCAAATTATTTTTTGATTGGAGTCAATTTACAGTCACTAGGAAGTTCTTGAACCACCCATAAAATGAACCTTTATAGATGCAGGTTTGCTTATGTCTGATTTTATATAGTACTGAACCATTCTCAAAATTCACCTCAATAGTTATATAACTTATATTTTTGTGACATTAGTACCCATTCGGGGAGAATCATCCGTCTTCGACGGCATCTTGTTTGGAAAATCTTACGATTCAGTAAATGCTTAGGTCTGTTATGTAGCTTTTATTTTTATACCCATATTCAACAATATGTGTTGAATATTTTTATTTTATAGTGACATATCATCGGATGAATAAGATAAATTATCAAAAAATCCAAACACAAGAAACCATATATTTAGGGTTTAGGAAATATGGAAACTATGCATTGTTAAATTGCCCAATTTGTATAATGAGCACAGTTTTAGTCACTGGTACAATTAAAACATACAGCAACTCAGGAAGCATGTTGTTTTGAGAGATATGAATGGGTATAAATTATTTTTGAATAAAAATGAAAATGTATCTTATTGCATATCATACTATACATACTTATTACAACATTTTACGGTGTAGAGGAGGACAATGTCGACTCCAACATACTCTATTCACGAGAACAATAAAGCTATTCTTGGGACAAATGCCCATTGATATTACATGTATATACAATAACATGTATTAATTCATAATTTATTTGACTTTTATTTTTTATGCTAATTATAAATACACGGTGATAATTATGTAATTTAAAACTTCATGCGATAATTTTACATCAAAATGTATGCACGGAGTCGCAAAACCGGCACGGGTATGTAATAAATCTTAATTTACCACAAGTGACTTTTGATTGTCAAGAATGGTATCAGAGTTCGACCAGATTTGTCAATCGCAATATATACAGTATATGAATGAAGTTTAATTTAATTTTGTCGTCCGCCGAAATAGTGACGCCTGAAATATATCGAGGGGATTGAACATGTACTATAGGCAGCACGGAATCATTAAAATCTAACGTTCAGTAGATTTTTAACTAAGAAAACGTATCATGGCGAACAGTTCATTACAACCAATTCAAATTTAAAATTGGGAAAAATTCTTTTCCATTGAATTCATACTAGTGGCTTTTTAAATAAACTGTTCTTAATTAGAATAAATTCTAGATGTTCCCTGGTGCTAGAGATCTGTCCCCCTAACGTTGTAAATTATAAAACGCGTTTTAAAGAAATACAGCATATTCGGCCAAAAAAAAATTATATTGCCAACTACAGTACAGATGTATTCTATGATGGTTGAATTATATCTTACTTGAAAATGTGAGATTTAAAATTTCTAGGTATATAAACTGTTTCAATAAGTGGTCATATTGTGTAGACATTCCGTATGCCTAGTCATTTATATAAATATTTCTGACGATGAGGAATACAGTGAAAGAAAAGTGCCTTACCTGAAAATTATAAGTTGTTTTATGTGTCAGTTTTATGGTAGGTTTGGCGGTTAACGATGCAACGTGAGGTCTGTCGGTTTGCAAACCAGAAAGGTATTTGAATACTGTAACAAATATTAGATTCATGACTATGAAATAGAGAGAAATAAGAATTCCTAAAGGAACCCCAACACGGCAAAATTGAAAATGTTGCAGACTCGGTTTGATTGAGTCTGTTAATGAACAATACTGTCTAGTGCAAACTACCGTTCACGCCCCCTGGCACCGGCTTAAGCAGAATTCAACATTTAACATGAACTGGTAAAATTTAGAAGTTATTTATGAAATTGATGAAGTTACAACAATATGAAGGAAAGAGACTCAGTATAGTTGGATTTAAGATAGTTGCTTATAAATGACTCATGATTTTGTGTGTCAGTCAATTACAGTCATATAAAAAGATTTACTTTAATTAACCATGTGATGATATATAGGTAGTGACATTTGTTGTATTTTCATTAAAACCTGATTAGAATAATTAAAGTTTAAATATTCGTCATTGACCTGTATCATTTTTCTTAACTCGTTACAAAATAAATTTGCAAGCAATCGTAATTACAGAAATACAGAGGTACCTTAAGGCAAATATTTATTAAATTTATGTTAAACACATACTTTATCATAATGTCTTTATCATCATATAATAATTGAAAACTATGAAATTAAAAAGTGATATTATGCTTCATTTTATGGTTGCCAAGGTGAAATAGAGAAAATAAGAATCCCCAAAGAAGATCAACATGACAAAATCACGACAAACATGATATGCTGCAAACCTGTGCGCAACACAACGAATTTGTATCACCAAGGCCGAAATAGTTTGACCCAACTCCTCCATTCTCACAGTCACTGACTCCAACACTCTAACGAGAGTAACAACGTTGTCTAGGGGAATATTTGTCTCTGTAAAATATTCTAAAGACATCTGTCATTGACTGCATTTCCAATTTGAACGTTGATACAATCCAAGAAGTGAACTTTTGGTTTATTAGAGACAAGAAACCGCACATACACATTAATTTTTTTGTGCA